ACACCCATTTTAAAATGTCCATTTCTACAGCCAACTTAAACATCTTTACAGTCTGTTATTAAACACAGTTTTATTCTTATTAGCTCAGTTCAGTATTGGTACACACTGTATGTTTACCGCCATCGTTAGGCTTCAAAGTGCCTCTTCAGAAACCAATGGGTGATGTCACTGAGTCTACGTCCATCTTTTGTTCAGTATATGGTGTGTAATAAAAGCAGGTCAAATATTCACTCTTGTTGCAAAGTTTGTTTATAACTTTCTGTCATGTAGTGTTGGATAGGTACAGTTGGTTCGTCCACATTTTTAAAGCTTTTTCCCCCTAAAAAAACTTCTACCAGCTGTTCAAAAATTTTCAGTTGAGGGAAGTAAAACCAAAATATCTGATTAAAATGTTTCATAAGTAAATTCCGAGTTTGAAGATGACTACTGAAAGGTGCTTTAAATAACATGAATGACTTCCCTTACATCAAAGTTAGTGATTTGATCTATTATTCATGCAACACTCTGAACCGCTCGCTGCAGAAGAGCACCGGCCTCTCACACCAAAACCAAATGGACCAAAACTCCAGAACCCAAAGACCAAACACAGATATGAGACTGAAGATCAAGATTAAGTGTAAACTTGATTCAAACTTTACAGACAGAGAATAAAACTTACCACAACCCCATGGAGCAGACACACAGAGACACTGCTCTCCAACAGACTGCTGCTGATGCCAGGGAGAGAAAGGAGAAGGAGCTTCTAGAGGAAATCACAAAGGATTCTGATCCGACCTAGCGATGATAACCCACGGGAGAAAAGCTCAGAGGTAACTTTTTCAATCCTTTGAGATAAAGAAGAGGATCTATTTTCATTTTTCTTTCCAATCAGTCTGCAGCAGATTTTCCCTCCTCCACTCATCTTAATCTCCCTTCATCCACATGGATGTCTGACTTGTGGGAAAATGTTACATCACTTTACTTCATCAAGCAGAGGGAGAAATGTGGAATAATAAAAAGGGCAAATATAAAACGCAAAACATGATTCTTTTAATTGAATATATATGCTTCAAGTGTCTCCTTCTGCTTTATGCATGTTTACATAAGAATTACCTTTAAAGTTGATTTTTTTAAAGTGGCTCTCTGTTGAGTTTTTGATCTGATTGAGCCAGGGTTTTAATGATTCTTCTTGAGAAGGGCTTTGTTTGGTTTGGCATAAACATGAGATAAGACGTGCAGTCGTGTGTTACTCAAAGTTCCTGACCACGCAGTATTTACCCCTGATCTACAGGTGGCGCTAAAACGACAAGATGTGCAGCAGTGCTTGAGTACAAAGAGGGAAAAAACTAATGGAAATTAATGTCGTGTAAGCAGTATTTTTAAATCCATCTTTTTATTCGCTTTGAAATGTTGTTTTAGCGAGGAGAATATTCTCTACATGTGAAGGATTGATCTCTTGTGTTTTTTGTGAGAAAAAGTGAATATAAACTAAACTATTGTGTCATTTAAAGTACCTTTAAGTCCATCATATTTACTTGTTTACTTGGTTAAAATGTTTGTCATGTGTCTGAACAAACAGCTAAATATCTTACAAAATGAAAACACAGCTACTCATCACACCAAACATCAAACATGTTTAGAACTATACAAACTGAATATATTATAGCTTCCTGAAAATACCAAAAGTGAGCTCCAACCCTTAGTATTATTAATCCACTGATGATTCTTAGCAATCTGAAGTCATGATTAAGGAGTCTGAAGTCTGAAGGCACACATTAGCAGACATGTTGTTGCTTTAATTGTGGTAATCATGTGGCTTCCTGTGTGTGTGTAGGTGTGTGTCGGTGGCCTTGTGCGTGTATGTGTGTGTGGAGGGAAGAGCGCTCTTTCCTCCTTCTTTCATCGCACGAGCCAACATGCAGACGTTACAAGTAGGTATGTGTTATGTCTCTTATACCCTTCGCTCTGACATAATGCAGACTGTGCTTGTGTGTTGTGTGTGTGTTTGTGTGTGTGGGGGGGGGAGAGCGAGAGAGAGAGCGAGAGAGAGAGAGAGTGGGGGGTTGGTAATTTTGGCTCTGGAAAGACATAAATAAAATCCCCCACATGGCCTGTGAGTTGACCAGTGGAAAATGAAACCTTTTACACTTTACGAGCATCCACACAGGAAAATAATTGCAGTACGGCTCAAATAGGTGTTTCAATGTGCTCCTTTGCTCAGCCTTTTCCAATTAGCCTGCAGATGTAGCTAGCTCAGCAGGTCTTTGAGCGTTTGCAGTTTCAGCTCCTCGTGCTCTTTTTCCACAGTCATGGGCCAAATCAGTAAAGGTAACCCGTGAGAAGTTTTTATGTTTCTCTTCTCCTGCTTAGAAAATAAGGTAAAAATAAAAAATACAGTCTGCACAGAAAATGTCAGTCCATGCATCAGACTCAACTCATCTGAGTGACCCTGCATGAGGTCACAGTTGTCTTCAAGCAAGTCAAACCTGAAAACTCTGTAATGAGTCTCCATTTCATAGATTAGACCCAGAAAAAAAATATCTGATGCTTAATTCGGGCCAGTGAAAGTAAGTCTTAAACACAGCCAGGGATTTGAAGTCATATGACAAAGGATGTTGAAACACACGGGAGGAAGAGATGATTCAAAAGTTCAGATAATGGTGAAAGCCACAGCAAAGAAGATACGCCCCAAAAACTCATATCTTACAGAGTGTATTTGTCAATTTTCTTAGTTAAAAATATCTCTTTACACTTAATATATTCCATCCACATTCACCTGACCAGGGGAACATCTAATTTCACGATATTACAACTAAAACATGAGGCTTGAATTGCTTGGTTTGAGTCTAAATAGCTGCCAGTGCAACAAGTTAAATGTACTTGGTATGTTCCTTGAAATTAGACTTTAATCCATATATTTATAAATAGAAATTTGACAAACACGCTTGGTATGATGAGTTTTTGGAGTGTACAAAAAACATTGCTGTAAGTGGATACTTTGGGAGTTTTAGAGATACATTTATGTTCCCATATTGAAAAGAACACAAATATATTATAAATATATATCGTAAGTTATTTATTTTGATGTTGATCTGTGTTTGGGTGTCCTTAAAGAGCAATATGTGAGATATCTACTGAATTAAATTATAAAGTGACCTTACTATATGATCAGACATTAAGGAAACATGCTATGTTGAAGTGCTGGCTTCTCTGTGAACAATGCAGCAGCCAGTTTGTCCTCCTTCTAACTTTAGATTCTGCTCCTGAATGCTCTGGATTTGTTTGGACCAGAGAAGGTAGGCGGTTTTCAGAAAGGTGCTCAAACTAGGATCAATATTGGCGATGATTTTGAAAAATGGAGAGCGGTTAGAGATCAGATAGGTTAACAGACCGATGCAGCGCTGGCTAAACACTGAAGCTTCAGTGTCCGCGACATGGCAACCTGCGTGCACATCGTCTGTAGGGAGGAGGGGGTGTGGGGAGACAGCTCTCTCCATTGTTTTTGGATTTGAACTGCAGTACCAATTTTAAACGCTAAGTGTCAGAGTTACATACTGTTCCTTTAAAGGAAAAAAAGAGGGAAAAAAAATACATGTCAAGCTTCTAAGTTCATCCAAAAATAATAGTTTACAGACCTTGATTTTCTTGGACATGCAGAAAGTGAAACAGAGCAGTTCAGATAGAGGCCATATATCCAAAACAATGAGCTCAAAGATGCTAAGACAATCCATAGAGAGGAGGAGAACTGTATCATTCTCTCAGAGTTAGTAAATATAAGGTATTTTCACAATTATTACAACCAGTATGAATGTAATATTGCTTTAAATTGCATTTCCTTTTTAAACCTTTTTTAATGAATATCTACTAACTTAATGATGATGGTCTCGATATTATTGATGATGATGATGGTAATGACGAAGGTTTTTGTTTGATAACGACGACTTATAAGATGGTTTCTATACTGATTAGAGCTCTCGAGAACTGCCCTCAATGTTGTGCTTTGCCTTTGGTCACTTCCTGTCAGCACCTGTGTGTCCAATCAGACTCAAAGCTGATCGTTTGCTCTTACTGATGTTGTTCCCTTTTGTCTAGTTCCTTGCTTGTGTTGTTCTTACTCTCTGATGAACGTCGCTTTGGATAAAGATTGTAGAATTGTAGAATTATGCAAAATACCCTTTACCATGATTTTCTAACACTATGCGTCTCTAATCTGTCTACAAACCCCCTAGTTATGAAAAAAGTCCATCCTCTCCGTCTTTTGCCTGCTCCACTTTTCAGAAAATGTGTGCTCAAACAGGCCGTTTAGAGATTGTCCCTTCATGACATCACAAAGGGCAGTAACCCCTCCCCCAGGTGGGTGACACTCCCACAGCTAGGTGTTTGTTCTGCCCTCTGAGTCTGCCTTCTCACTGTAAACAATAGGACATGGAGCGAGAAAGCCCGAGCCACCCAAGCCCTTCCAGAGAGGGGGCGCGGTCAGACACCGCTCATTTACATATTTAAAGGTACAGACACAGAAACAGCCTGTTCTGAGCAGGGCTGAAATAGAGGGGTTTATAGGCATGATCAAATACAGGATCAGAGTGGATTTAGAAAAAGAAGATCATTTAAGTTATTAAGTAAAAACACATTTCATAACAGCTTCTAAAAGTGTATAACAACTTGTGAAATGTAAGAAATGTCTAGTTTAGTTCTGATTATTGCTATGTCGGCCTCTTTATGAAACAAACTACTGTATCTGTTACATCCTGAATCAAGCACATTATTACACCAACTGTTATTCATTCATTCATGAGGGGAACTTACTGTTGTATTAATAGTCGCCTTGAGACACAGAGTATCGCTCCCGCCTCTGTGCCACGTCAAAATGTGTTTTTACTGAGAGAAAACGCTCTTTGTTTAACTTCTGTTGCCTTTGGCAGGTAACACATCTTGACTCACAGTTACTCAAATGTGGGGCCCTCTTTTCCGATACTGTAGGCTGTCCACACACACACACACACACACACACACACACACACACACACACACACACACATTTAACCATGAGGAGACCTATCAATAATTACGTACTGTAGGCTCGCCTTCCTGCCACTCTGCCAAGATAGCAGGTTCAGTTCCAACACGGTGATGAGAGACAGAGCTGAAGATGGATGTCTGTGGGTTTTCCAGGTTTAGTCACACTGACTGAATTCTGTTTTGACATGTCGAGTATGTTCGAACAAAACCAGAGCTTTGTTTAAAGTCAGCACCCTGAGAAGATTTCTGATGTTATGACATGTGGTGAGAATCATTGCATGCATTTATCACATCGTTGTTTCTGAAGAGAGATACTTCTTATAGTTTTTACATTGAACAGGACAAACATGTAGAAGACCTATACACCTTGAATGCACTGCTGTATATCAGGTCTACCATACAGTGTGTTTTGAGGCATCAAAAGCGATACTATTTTTACATTTTCAAAGTAAAAATAGTAGATAAAAAGTGTGCTTTCGATTTGTTTTAACACAAAAACAATATTTTGACATTCTGAGGCATATTTGTCACAGTCTTTGAATAATATCTGTTACCAAAAACAATTACATTGGGTGTCCCTGTGCTCAGATGAGCTGCTAGTCAACAGGTAGGGGCCCCAGGCCAGTAGGGGGCCACCGAGGGCTGAAAAAAAACCCCATTAAACCACTGCAGTGGCTCAAAATGGTCAAAGTTTACAATTTCAGAAACCTTCCTAAAGGGGCCCCATCTGATAACACTCGCTCCTATTGCACTGCTAGCTGAAGCCTGCATTATCCCTATGTTCTTTTATTGAGGGTAATGTATTCTGTCTAACATTTTTAATAGACAAATGCCATTAGTTAGGGGGGTGGCAGTAGCAACTTTTTCTTTCCATGTAGTGTTTATGAAGTCAACATTTTCACAGAGCTCATTTTGACCCTTGTGGCCTAAATACTAACATTTAAAAGATGTCTCTGCTCTTTTCTCTGTCTCAGTTATGTGTTCCAGTGAGCCATATCAAGCACAACACCAGCACATCGGACCTGGCAGCCGCTGCTAATGAAATTACCACCATGCATCTCCTATTTGAATTTGTTTCAGTGTCTGCCATGAAAGCAGGGCCAGTGGAAACTTCTTATTATGTAATAAAGCAGAGCGATCATTTTCTGGGTTGTGATGACTCTAAACACACAAAAAGCTGAGGCGCAGATGGCCTAGCGGGCGGCTGGGTCCCGCCCCGTGTACGAAGGCCATCGTCCTAATGGGGCCATTCTCAAAGGGGACGGCCTGGGTTCAAGTCTGACCCTCAGCTCCATTCCAGCACGTCATTCCCCACTCTCTCCTGATTTTCTTACTCCCTATCAAATAAAGACGATAAAAGGAAAAAAAAAGCTGGATTTTGTATTTATCATGACAGTCTTAACAGAATTCCAAAAGTGCTTGTGATACTTAAAGATTAGTTTGCATTCACTTGTATACTTTCTGTCTTCTTTGATCATTCTAAGAATGGATATATTTCTGAATCTGTGTCTTGTCAACATTACCTCAGTTTTTTTTCCCTTTGACGACCAGCCTGCCTGGTAATATTTATAGCTCCACCCAAAATGAGGTTGCAATGATCCCCCCTCCCTCCTCCCTTCCTCCCTCTCTCTCTTCCACTCCTCTCTCTCCCCCTCTGTCTGACTTTCTTTACATTTCACCAGTCACTACAGGATCACCACACCGGACCTGTTGGAGCTGAAGGGATTATTAAGGACACCTACATTTATGACCACGACCCAAAACTGTCGTTCACAACAGCGGGAACAGCACGGATGATGCGTGCAGCCCTTCCTCAGCTATTCAATGACAGAAGAGACGCGCCAAAGAAGAGATGGGAACTGTCGTTGGACTTCTACCTACCCGGCTGTGGGGGCAATGTTGTCGGTGCTCCATGTGGGCTGTACCTGTAGTGGTGGTTGTGGTCCAGCTTTGTGTTGCTTTTAACTTGGACACGGAGTCACGCGTGGTTTTCACCGGACCACAGGGAAGTTATTTTGGGTACTCGGTGGAGTTCTTCGGTAACGCATCCAGGTAAAAGTCTTTACGCATCATTAAAAAGTTGGCATGATCTACCTCAAGTTTGAAAGTCAGCCAAAGACAGTTTAAAGTCATCTCTGCAGATGGAAAAGAATAATTGACATAACAGGCTATTATCTTTATTAAAGGTGTAACTGACCTGTTTAGTTGAAGTGACCTTAATGAAGTTTTGCTTCTGTGGTTTCTACAACTTCACTTTTTATCTTTTTCACAATGATGAACCCCAATATTCCTGCTGTATTAAATTGTAGTCCTGTCATAAAAATTAAATTCTGCAACTTCAATACTGCTCTGTGATGCAGACTCTTCTTTTAAAAAATGTTGTTTTCATGTGGTAAGTTTACAATTAAAATGAGATCATTACCCTTTAATTAAATTAAACTGCTGGTAGAATGTTTTTGCAAAGGTACTACAATTGCTTTCTTGTTTTCCAATTCCGCTATAGGTTTTTAAACTGTCTCATTACCTCTCTCTCTCACCCTCTCACACACAGACACACCAACACACACACACACCCACACCCACACACACACCCACACACACACACATATAAGCACACTGGATTCCAGCCCACGTATGATTGGAAACAGACATACAAGTCTGAGTGTGAGTGATTCAGGGAGGAGGGGGTTAACCTACAGCAGAGTAAGAACTTTTTCTAATCTCCTGAATATGGACTGGTGGGACAGTAAAGGCTTCCTGCTGGTTTGCTCTGTTGACAGATGAGAAACTGCAGTGTGAGATAAAGTCAAAGATCAAACATCATTCCTCATAAGTCTAGAGACACAGTGTGTACGCTCACCTGATTTGGCTCTCTGCTTAAACTCTGGAACACACACGATGAAAATCACAAAGTATCTCGGATAAGAACGAGGTGTGTGTAGTTTATTAACCAAAGTTGATGGCTTCATGTTACTCAGTCAATTGGCTGCACATTGACAGTTTGTGCCTCTCATGTTTTACCATTCCTGTAGAGCTACAGAGATGGGGTTTTGATTTTTCTGAAGAATACAAAACCTGGTAATCATTGAAAGAGCCAAAGAGTCTTCAAGTTGTTGTAGTTGTAGTTTTCTTGAGGGACATGTTTGTTGACTTCCACTTTTTTAATCCTACAATCAAAGTAGGAAGCAAAAAGCGAGGGCAGCCGCCAATGGTTAATTGTGCAAACTCATTCAGCAAAGATAAAGACTTTACTGACTTTGATTTTAAATACTGTAGCTTTAAGATTGCCCGTCTCTTGCAGTGGAGTATATTTTCCAAATGTGCCTGTCTGCTCTATAATGTCTTACAAAGTAACTATTTCCACAATAAAATGAATCATTCTTCCTATAAAAATGGTTTCTCAAAAGTTATACCCACCCATGCATAGTTTGGTATAATGATGTAGTTACAGAGCGTCGCCATGACAACCTAAATGTATAGCCCACATGAAATGTTGAGCAGTTTGAATTTTTATTTTTATTTTGACACTTGGGGTAGGATTTTTGTTCCATAGTATTTCTATGACTGTCTTTCCATGACTTTAATTTGACAGGTTGACCAGATACTACATTACACCTCATGTCCAGGTAGCTGATGCTGCACATAAACAAAAGATCACTTTAAGTGTGTTTTCTGATAGATACAGTCTACTCAGCCAGCTGTTCACAGCTGCTGTGGCTCACGAGCATAGGATTCTGCAGGAAGTGTTTCATCACCGTGGACTCCCTTTAAAGACGAGGACATCACTCGAGTGCATATCATCTGTTTTATCTGCTTCACGATAACCCGCTGAGCAGCCTGTAAGCAGCCAGACGATATTCAGCACACGCAGCCGCCTGTGTAAACGTCTGCTCAGATTTTCACCATATAAATCGAGGCTACACCTTATCAGCTCTGTGTGTCTCAGTTTACCCTCGCTTTACATCCTCCAGGACTCGTATAGTAAGAGCAGTGTTGTTTTAATGGATGTAGACATTTTCCTGTGAGGAAATTGGTTAAGATTCTGTCAGTTTGCTGAGCTAAGCTCCAGACAGTGAGGGGGCATGTTGTTGTGTAATTACAGAAACATTGACTTAGATCACTTTGTACAGATTAAGCCTCTTTTTGCCTGCAATGTCTTTGCTCACACCGACTAAGAACAACTTTACGTCGTTGAGCAAATACACGTGCTTTAACAGTTCACACTTTCTGATGAACATCAGCATGATAAGAGTTCTTTGTTTCATGGTGGGTAAACAGTGCAGCAGGAAAAAGATTCATGTCAGAGATGTTTTCTTTCTGCTGATCAGTTTGTTTCAGCTGGTTGTCATGGAGAATGACAGTTACTTGACTGTTGGCCTATTAGGGAGCCTTGTAAAGAGTTGTTCCTGTTTCCTACTCACCAGCCCATCCCTGTTTTCACTTTCTTCACACACAAGGTCAGGTTAAGTTTATGAGCCATGGATGTTTACATTTTGAGAGAGATTTCTTTGAAATTTGATACAGACATTAATGGTTTTCAGAGGAAAAAAAAATAGGTAATAGTTAAGATCCTTTACATTTTTCTCCCACCAGCAACCTCCAGTGTTGAAAAACAAAGCCAATGTGGAAGTTCAGAAACCTGCAGGTTCATTGTGTGTCCACTAGAGGCTGGCTGCAGAAGTCCTGAAGTCACATACACCAGAAATTAACATGGTTACAGACTGGTTCAAAAATAAAAAATAAATGTCTGCGTAGCTCATGTCTTTGTCGGCACACACTGTACAGGGTGTGGATTTTTAAAAATAACGCATTTGTTTTGTTTTTTGTAAAGGATAAGAGGTTTTAATAATAAGGCGCGTGGATGATCTGACTGACGGTGTTTAGCTGTTTGTCAGGAAGCTTAAGACCTGTCTCGCCTCAAACACTTTGCCTGGTGTTAGGTTGACCGAAAGTTAGGTTGAGAGTGAGACATTTTCAATATGGTGGCCGCCGTTGACAGCCTTCAAAAGTTCCCTTCAGTCCCCAATGTGTGACGTCACTGACATGTCATCCTTCTTTAGTTACTGCCCATCATTTCACCACTAACAAGTAACAACTCCTGTATGTCAAACACGTAGGTGAAATACCAAATACAAACCAAATGGTATTCCCATGATCGATCACCACCTTTAATACATGTAAACTAGTCAATGTTAGCATGCTAAAATGCTAAACTAAATGGCTAAATGTCCTACCTGATAAACATCAATATGCTAGCATGATTTGCTGTTTGTTTCCCTCAGCTTTACAGTGCATGGCTATATTATGAAGTTGTTTGACTGCACTTTCTCATTTTACATCACATCATATCACATTAGGTCTGTAGAATGGAAATGGGACATGGCCTTTAAAATGTTGTGACCAAACAATAGTTTTCTTCTTACATTATTCACCTGTTTACCAACTGGCAAATGTCGAACTGGTGTACAATTTAACTGTGCAGCTAATCACAGTCTGTGCTTTGAGGAATTTACTTTTCATTTAGACAACTGAACAAATGCAGCCTTTACGTTCAAGAACATTTGAGACTGACTCCTGCAGCCGCTTTTGTGTAGCTTTATTGTAGGCAAACCAGACAATAAGCAGCCTTGAACATCTTTGCTGATGTTGTTTTTCTTGCCCAACTCTTTGAGGTTCAGAAAATATGTCACGTTTGACACAACAGGAAAGAGATCACATAAATTCATTGTTGCACCAAAATATTGCGGACCACCCACATTTTTAGTTAATGAGCATATTTACATGTTAGCCAAACAAAGCAGATATTTGGGTTGGGGATTTAGCTCATATAACGATCATATCCTGTTTATTGTAAGAACCCAGATACAGTCTTGGGAGACCTGGACGGGGTTAGTGGGGGACAATTAGTTAGCAAGGAAAAAAAGTGAGTTCATTGTTAATATCATGGAAATAAGAAGACCACATCATTGTGTCAGTGTGGTCCACTGAACTTTTTTTGGGCTTGTTAGACCTTAGACTTAGACAGTTCAGCAAAGTCAGTGCCCTTTCTTTACTTTAAAAACACATTGTGTTAATTCAGAGTACTGAGAGGTTAAAATATTTAGTGTTTTTGAGACCATTTGTTATAAGAGATAGAAACATGTTCCGACACATCATATTGTTCAGAAGAAAAGTTTGTTTGAGTGATGACGCATACATCAACACTTTAACTGGTTGAGACGTACTATTAGGATAGGACTTGTTTCATCATAGTGTGGTTATGTAATTCAGACATTTACTGGAGCTCACAAATTCTATGTAAAAATGACATTGCATCCTAAACTGGGCCTGCCTCGAAGCCAATTTTTTGTTTGCAGATGTTCATGTTGAATGTGAGTTAAAAGAAAGGAATCCTGATTTCACGTCTCAACAGGAAACAAATACCAATCAGATTGGTAATAAGGCTGTTGGTTAGTGGTGTGTTTTCATTAAGTGTGCTTTGAACACACGCAAGTCCATCCGACAATCCAAACGTGCAGATAACACAGAGGGTGGAAGTGGGTTAAATGTCCTGTTGAGTTGCTGTGGACTGAACGGTTTATAAGAAAAGCTCATCCAGCCATGTAAATATTCCTCCTGTGCCTTCCAGACATTTTGGTGGAATGGGGGGGAGGTAAGGGGGGATAGGAGTTACGGAGTCTGATCTCTGCTAATGTCATCAGTCACCTGTGTCTTAAGTTGTCCCATTTCCTCCAGACAATAGGCCTTATTAGCGGGGCTGTCTGAAACCCTTACAGTTCATTTGTAAGAAACACTCACCTGAATGAAATGCTTAGGCCACTTAGCTAGCTTGCCATGTGCAAAAACTTTGTTCAATATTGGGATAACGATATAAAATGTAATAAAAAAACAAAATATGAAGAGTGCACATGAGCTATAACTCAGTTTCTGTGTCTATCTTCTGTTCTTTACTTTTATACCTACCTGTGTTTACAACATTTCCCCCCTGAAAAACAGTTTTTTTCCGCCACAAAATTGGCACTACTGAATCCTAGGGTAGCTTGTAGCTGCGTTAGCTTCATCTGTCCGCGTCAAAATAGTGTGTAAGCATGGCCATTGTACCCAGGTCTCCATCGAATATGTGCAACGTACACATCCTAAGTGAGAAAGCATTGCTAACAGGAAGTGTTTTATTTTTTATTTGTTGCAAAAAAAATTAGACTTTTATTAGACTCGTGATGGTGAAGAGTAACACGCTTTACACTTCCTGCGTGTGTGCAAGCAGACAAAGTTAGCATATAGCTAGTCAGCTGTGAACCATAGGATAAGCAGCTACTGAGTCAGATATTTCACCCAGAAGTTGATCCAGAAGATAAAACACTACCAAACAATGAGTTGATATCAGAGTGGATGTTGAACTTGCACTAGCGAGGTGGCCATCAGTTCATGTGAATGCTAATGTTGCTGCAGGTTGTTATATGAAATGTATTTGACGTCAGATCAGAGAAATAGGTTTTGTTGGATTTGTTTCTTAACCAGAATGTAATATTTTGTTTTTTTCTTGTCGCTGTTTAGCAACAGCATATTGATCGGTGCTCCGAAAGCCAACACAAGCCAACAAGACATCACCGAAGGAGGAGCCGTGTACCTGTGTCCCTGGAGCCAAGCTAACTGCAGCATAATCAACTTTGACAAGCAAGGTAGGGTGTCTCGTTAAAATCCCAAATTGACGATCCGCCTCTTTGTACTCGCACATAGATAAAAATGGAGACTGTTAAAAAAAAATCTGTCTCAGTATTCAAAATCCAAGGGAGAACATTTAACCTGCATCATAACCTCAGCAGTAGTGAGTAACTCACATTATTCCAGGACATTAAAATGTCACTTTCCCCAACGGGACTGTTAAAACAGCTGGGACAGGACTTTTGTGGTAAACTCTCAGCAGTCTTTAACCAGCCATAAAAAAAACCCATGAGAGGCTCCAGGTAGCATCCCAAGTTAAGCACCGCTGTGCTCGACTCTGAGGTCAGAAGTGCAGCTCCCTGCCATCTTATTGCTCCTTAACCAGTGGCTCTCTGTATTGAAACCAGCCTTTGATGTCTCTCCTGTGTTTTAATGGTGGCGGAGGCTTGCCTCCAACCCTCCCCTCGCTTAAGGTCTCCATTTTGGGACATGTGCCGTGCTTGCAGTGTTTTCACAGGAGCTTTGATTTCCTGCTGGGCTCTGGCCCAGTGTTGTGAGCACTCTTTAATTAGGGCCGAGTCATTACGAGAAACGAGGACCCCAGAGGATCGGGCTGCCCCTACTTCTGCCAGGATCTCTATCTGACATGCAGGAAGTGATAAGGAACCGCTGTTTCAGGATCACAGGGGCGAACTTATCGTGCAGCCTCACATGCTGATATCAAATGTTGGTTTACACCGACTTAGAGCTGTGACTATGCAAACTGCGCACATAAATACACATTTACAAACTGTTTACAAACTGTCCCGCAGTCAGACTATGAAATGCGATGCATGAATCATAGAAAAAGAACCACACTTTCGTACACAAACACACATCTACACACACATGCTAATGCTTTTACACTCAGTCGTCTTGCAATTCCCATTACAGGCCTCAGGATTCATGGTGTGTTTGAGGACACAGCCCAGACTCCATTAACCCAACAGGCAGCCAGGAGAGTTTAATGTCACCACTCTGCTGCAGACAGCCGGCACATATATCAGGAAATATACCACAGTAAAGCTTACAAAGTTACAGGCACATTAAAGTACCCACTTCGTCTTTTTTTTGGTGTGTGTGCTTAAAATGGAACCTTGCAGGAGTTGTTTTGCTTTAGGCAAGTTGTTGGAATAAGGTCTCACGAGTTTACATTTTAGGGATGCTGAATGGCAAATATTTGAAACTGTGACAAAAATGTTGCTTCCAAATGAAATAAGGATATCACAGCAAATTGTATTTCCTTTCCCTTTAGTACGGATGTGTTCCAGGTCAAAGTTTTCCATAAATGCAAACTCGCACATGGGAGTAATCCCAGAATAAGTCTGCAGAGTTCCCGAGATCAAAAGCAATACTATCACGAAATGGCGTCAGGCCTCTATGTAGGCGAGGTGGAGGTGAAGCCGTTTTCATTTTGCTGGTTTACAAGCACACGAGCATGCCCTCACCTGGCAGCCCTGCAGCGTTGTGCCCCGCTTGGAAGGCTTTCACAGAGCTGGCCAATCAGAAGGAAGTGGGCACATAGGGAGGGGAGGATTAAAGAGACAGCACCTTTAGAGAAATGTTACAAGCAGAGATTTTAGGTGTCAGTACAAGATAATTTAGTCCTTTTTTAAGCTGCAAGGCGACTCTACAGGTTTCACTGACGGACAACATGAAAGGTGAACTTGAGGATATTATGTGATCATTACGATTTTTGGATTAATAGCAATTGAAGTTGAATTATAACGCATCATTTCCCAAATTACTATAACAGCTTGTTATATTGAGGTTATATGAACGTGTAATGTTCCTGAGGTGTCAAAACTGAAATGTTTGGCAGTTAACCACACACACACACACACATTCACACAAACACACCTTAAGCATTCTTCCAGCCCCCTCATCACTGTTACATGCTTTTATTTGGTACCGGCAGGGCTTCTGGTAAGATAGATCTCGAGGTACAATGAGCTACAGCCGTATGGGTTACAGTCACAACATGCTCCAAGTCCCTTTGAGCTGTTTGATGTCTGCCATAGCATGGAGGATGGATTAGGACCGCAGACCCCGGGGAGCAAGGCCGTAAAATATCCATGTAAAACGTCAAGAACATGTGTAGAGGGCTCTCGAATGAAGTCATTCAGCACAAATATCAAACACACAGGGCGGTCTTTGACTGTTGAAAAAAAAGCAACATTAATCATGATTCTTCAAATGAGGTTGTTTCAGTTATTCCTGCATTGATGAGCGAAAAAAAAAAAAAACATTCATGAAAAACCTGTTTAATATGTTTTATCTCCTCGTTGTTCTTTCAGGTGATCGATATTTCTATATAAATAATGTGAACACTCAGGTCGAGTTCAAGTCTCATCAGTGGTTTGGAGCTACCGTGCGTTCCCATGGCAACAGCGTCCTGGTACGTAAATTGCTCAGCGGTTGCTCGGGTCCGTAAACCTACAGGATGCTTTTTTGCCTACAGTACATGTGATGCAAACATTTTTTATAAATCTGCTGTCGACAGATACGTTATGGTGCACATTATCATAAAAAAACAACAACATCCTGGCACTTTTATTATTGCTGTATTGTTGTGTACGCTGGAGTATTTCATTATGAGATTTTGGGACGGATTGGGTTTCTTTGGGACCAGGTTTTTAAGACAAGATTAAAGTTGTTCTAGTTTTTGGCTATTTCATGTAAAAGCATTTGTTTTGATGGTAAAATTAACTTTTCATCCCAACAACAATCAATGAATCACATTTTCTGATCAGAAAAGGGGGAAATGTGGTGTCTGTTATGGTAGCAGCAAGGTATCCATCAAAGGCAGTCTACTTGCTGGTATCCATCCCTTTTGTTAACCAAAGTTGTCTACCAGAGCTTAAGCTATGATTAAACAATCATTGCTTGGGGAGTTTGGTCATTTAAATAGTTCTGTGGTCAATATTATGACTCTAAGCTGTCTCTGTTTTCCCAGGCTTGCGCTCCCAGTTATTACTGGAGGACCGAACATGACACACCCTTTGCTGATGTCACAGGAACCTGCTACCTCTCTGTGGACAGCCTCCAAACATTTGTGGAGTACGCTCCCTGCCGAACAGGTGAGTTATAGGCAAACCTTCAAGGGGCACAGGGGGGTTAAAGGCGGTTAGGGGGCTGATTTTGTACTTGTTCTGTTGTGTTCTGTTGTGCCTTTTAGATTTGCCAGGTAAAGCCAAAGCTTCGCATTTGAATAAATAAATTGGTATGAGGAGTGGATAATGTAATGTTATCGAAGTTAACAGCAAAGTAAAAAATTGCAGTTAAGCACATCTGCCTCCCCTGATGCTTTTGTTTTAGATTCAGTTGTTTTCAGAGTTTCCAAGCTGGAATTTGGTTTCTGGTTGATGAACAAATAAAATGTGAAAGAACAGAGCGTTCTTTTTTTCTTTCTTTCTAGTTTTAATCGAAAAAACATTCATTCATTGTTATTTCCCCATGTGTGGCGTTGTTCTTCGCAGAACGACATGGACCTGCTGGACAGGGCTATTGTCAGGGGGGATTTAGTGCAGACTTCACAAAGGTAAGAGAAATATTTCCAAGAGTTTACGTTTTTACATAAATCACGTTGTTTTTTTGTCTCTGTGTTTTGGCTGATGTAAGCAGTGGGGGGATTTCGCTGTGTGCATCAGATTTGCAGAGTTTGTTTGAAAGTCATGATGACACACAGACGCCTCAGCTCTGGCTACTGTGTTACAGGATGGGAGAGTTGTGCTTGGAGGACCAGGCAGTTTTTACTGGCAAGGTGAGCTCACAGGAATGTGGAACCTCGTGGACTCTTTGAGATAGATTTGAGTTCCTTTGAAAGAATCAGAAAATCAATTCATCATCATTCAGAGTGAACAAACTAAAGTGGAACAACTCAGGAGGGAGATTTAAAGAGTTGCATTTGTCATTTTAACCTCTGATCTTTAACCCTTTTTAAAAAAAAAAAATCCATTTGTCCTGCAGGCCAGCTGATCTCAGCCAACACAGAGGAGATTGTAAAAGCCTACTACCCGTCTTACTTCCTGCTGTCTGTCACCGGGCAGATTCACACTCGACAGGTGCAGGGGAACTATGATGACAGTTACCTGGGTGAGGATATAAACTAAGCCAGAATGTATACTTTGTACTTGAATCTATGCAGTGGATTTTGCCCTAGCCAAAAACAACTGTGATTGGTCGGCTATGAATCGCACCAAAACTTCATAAAACACTGCCAGACCAATCTCACCACAGTGAGAGAGAAACCACCCAACCAACGAGCAGACGCTGCAATACAAGTATAATTCTAGCGTTGTCATGGTTACTTACGTGAGCTGCAGTGGGCAGTGCAGTAGGCTATTATTGCTGCTTTGTATTATTATACCGGACAGCAGCAGGACTGATTCATTTTAGTTGGTTGGTCAAATCAACAGCAGTTTGTATATTCATGGTCCCCAGAGGAAAATATCCGAGGAGTAAACCCACCGTGCAGGTCCAGGTTTTGAGCAGGACTTTGATAAGTCCAAGGGGAGATGATTAGAACATGTATTGTGAGCTCTTTCCCATACCCCAGGATCAAAATTTCTCTAAATGTTAAAAATATATAAATAACTAGGAGGACATTTTCCTGAAATTGTCTCAACAAAGTCAGAGTTTCTGGATTAATGTAACAGTCCTCTCCATTGACCTTTGTCCATTTTATACACAGGAAACTGAAGACTTATGCTGTACTAGTTATAGGCCTGTAGCAGATTCACCAGGGTAACAATCTCAGCATTATGATGACTCACAACATGACGTCTGTCATACTCATAGTTCAGAAATTTGAAAAGTGAACACAAAGTTCTTCCAAGTGAATAGCCTCTAAACTTTTTTTTTACAAGTATTTAACAAATGTTTCTGTAGTTATTTTTTCTCAGGACAAACTCCTTCCTAAGGAAAAATAATTTAAACTCTCTCGGTGTTCATCCTGTGGGACCACATCCCCTTTTAGGCATCTAGGTTAAAGGTGTTGCAGCATGTTACACCTCACCGTTTCAGTCTTTGTTATCTTACAGAGTAGTCTAATATAATGATTAAGTGTTGATGCACTCAGAAGGAGTCGTCTGCTCAATGCAGGAACAAAGCACAAGATATAAGATATAAAGTGTTATCTGTTTTTGCCAGGGCGGAAGGTCGGGTCAGAGATCGCTGTGAGCGTAGGCTAACCTAGCAGAGCTAACATTTCCTTACTATGCTGTTTTCATACTTCATGTAGTTTGGACGATGTGAGGTCTTTTGGTACTGTACCAGTTTGAAATGACAAAAACCATCCCATGGTGAGGAGCTACAATTATGTGAGCTTAGATGACCTCTGTGCTCCTTATCTCTGTAGCAGCTCAGAGCTTCATTAGCTGCTGCTAGCATAGTCAGCTGTTTTTTTTGGAAGTAGAAAAAGAATGCATCCAAATGGTATCTCTTGTTGAGTTCCATTGCTTTAGATCTGACCACTGTGGATATACTTTACTACTATTACTTTAATAGCAATGCTGATAGGTAGAAGTTGGCCTACTCTTGAAGGACCCTAAAAATGGATTAGTATGAAATGCAGTGTGACTATACTCAGTTTATTACAATTCTTAAGGTTGTTATTACTATGCTAATTATAACAGAAAGCTTATCTGTATCAGGAAGTATTCAAGTTAATTTTTACAATGGTAACCGTTCTGTCATGTATCATTAGACCCTTCATCATGTCCGTGGCTTTTTATCTAATCTGTAGTCTTCATTTCTCCTGTAGGTTACTCCGTGACTACTGGGGAGTTCAGTGGGGATGGTGAGGAAGGTGAGGGTCATATTTACAGTACAGAGAGACAAAAATTCATGGTTCAGTACAGGCCAGCCTTAAGCTCTGTCTGATATTTAACTGCTCACTGCAGGAGGTAAAGACCCAAAGAATAAAATGATAAACAAAGTGTGTGATTTATTTTTAGTTGGTCGGCTGAAGAATTAGACATCCAAATCTCAGTTCTTTGTCATGAGTCTTGTTTTGAAATCGCCTTTCCCTAACCTCTTACCCATTGCTTTCCTTGTTTTAGATTTCATCACAGGAGTTCCAAAAGGACTCATGCTGTATGGTGTCGTAAGGAGTCCCCACATTTTCATTCTGCACAATAAATATCTGCAAAGAAAAACAAGTAGCTGTATAAACATGCACTTAACTCAAGGCCTCCACAGCTAATGATTAAAAACAGAGTAAACTGTGGTTACCTGTTATACATTTGTGAACCACGACTTGTAACCTTCATGATTTTTGTCGGTGTCAACATAGGTGTCCATATTAAACGGAAGGGATCTGACGTCTCTGCTCAACTTGACAGGAGAGCAGGTATGTGCACATCTGGCTCCTGTACGAGCCTAGCTCCTTTTTTTTTCATATATGTGGGTACATATGAAATGTGTCATGTGTAAAGCAGGGTGGAAGAGGAAGGAATTTGCCCCATGGAGATGAGCCTATACCGGTGTCAGAGGTCAAGCTTACAGTATGCACTAGCTCAAGGGTCCTTGAATCTGTAAATCAAACCCAGAAAGAGCAGAGCAGGGTAGTGTTTGGTTTGTTGCGGGACAGATTCTGCTTGTACTTTTCCAAATGGAAAGTACCGAGGATTACAAGGGTCATGTTTGAGTCATATTGCTGAGAAAAAAAGAGTCACCCACAAGGTCATTATTTTTAAAACGAAACGTCACTTGCTCGATTTAGCAGCCAGGTCTACTTTTAGGAAATGTTCCTCTGAGTAAAATATTACTCAGAACTGTAAGGCGTGTGAGGCGTGAAATGTCTCTGAAAACCAATTTAACTTCCTGCATACTCACTTCCTAAAAGTAGAATGTTGAATAAATAAAGAAAAACTTTTTTTCTTTCAAACGGATACAAAAAATAAGACAATTAATTTGTGAATGGCTTGGAGAAATAGTTGGGCTTGATTGTGTATATCTACCTAAACAACGGAAAGTGTGTGTCTGTGCGTCTGTTCGGTGTGCATGTGTGTGTATGTCTGTGTGTGTGTTTTCTGTGTGGGAGGTCACCCACAGCCCCACCCACTGACAGCTCGGAGGTGTCAGTCTCAGGCTGGAGGGTGCTAGGCAAACTGTTAAGTCACAGTGAGAGTGATCTGAGGTAAACTCGGGGCTAATTGATTCTGTGCTCTCTGTGAGCTAATGCTGCTCCCTCCGTGTGGGGGGGGGGGGACCGTACTGCCAAGTCAGCTGCAAAAACACACCAGAGGGTCTTTGTGCAAGAAGTCATTTGTTATGCAGATAAACAAAATCTCTCTGCTGAGCCATGTTTTAAAGTCTTAACAGTCATTGGATCCAAATGTCACAAAGGGTGGATGATATGATGTTACATAAGACACAAACGTGGGTTAAGCTTTGGAGCTTTTGAGATTTGCACGATTTTTTGACCTGCATTACTGTGGTTCCAAACATGACATTTAGCATCAAACTTATTTCACTTTGGTTCCAATTTTAAGTTCAATTATCAGTTCAATTCAAAAAATCACTTACATACCCTTTGGCCACTTAATGGATGAACTATGACCTCGTGTTCCTGATATTAGGGGTGGGAATTGAGAAGTACAATAGGGTGCGATACACTATTGCTACCTCCATGTGCTGTTCACATTTCTAAGAGTGTAAATATGTCTGGCAAAGAAATGCTTTCATAGGGTATCAGTGATTCTTTAACGTTGCTCTGAACCTCAGTTAGATTTACGTTGATATGAGCCGTTTAGCATGTGTGACACAGGAAGTCAACCCCAATTTTCAGTGTTGTTTTTCACATCCTGAACCTCATTTCTGTGTTGCTACACTACAAATCACTTTGAAGTGAGAGTCTAAACCAGGATGTGTAACATGAACCTAATTTATCATACGTGGTATGAAACGAAACCGGAAAAACCTAAGACCCACGAGTATTTTCTCAGAGTGAGTGTTGAAGGAGTTCGAGTCCCAAGTCCCCCAGACCCCCTACCTCTGCTCCAGCTTACAGAAGCTCAAACACTGAGCTCCATGAAAAAGGGAGCCGAGGAGAACCCCGGGGGGATTGTGGGATTGAGAGATTGAGGAGGAAAGCTTCTTGGGGTGGTGGTGGAGGCTACAAAAGAGAAAAAAAGGGACATGGAGAACGAAAATGAAAGAAAAGAAAGGGATCTCTGCAGCGTAGTGTGATTACAGGCTAACTGGGGGCTTGTTTTATAATGTGTTCCAGATGGGGTCCTACTTCGGCTACGCAGTGGCATCCACCGACATCAACAGCGACGGGTGAGTGAGTGGAGAAACAATGAGGCGGACGGTTAGGGAAGCGAAAATGGGCGACTTAACAAATAAGATAGCGAAGTGTACGCTCAAACAGAAGACTGAACATGAGAGATGTCGTCATTGAAACAAAGACGACAGCGTGACTGAAAATTTCCCATGCTTGATCGGACTTCACCCTGTCACTCTCTAATGTGTCATGAAAAATTCTGAAACACTGGGTACTCTCTTTCTGACTATAGTTCCTCTCAGTGTACAGTTCTCCTTTGGACAGTTGCACATGCCCTCGCTGAAGGCGGTCTGTGAGAATCAATGTCTTTCAATAGACAATAGTCACTTTTCACATTTCTCAACTTCCCATGACTTTTTACCCCAACCATGATGTCACATGAAATGTTAACCTCTGGGATCCCATTGCCATGCCAGTGGTTATTACTGAATAATGTGGTGCAGCATAATATTTTTTTAAACCAACAGAACATAATTACACAGTAAATACAAGTGGAGATTCTGTGCTTTCACATATATTTGGTAGGTCCTCCCGACTTAATGGGAATACTGTTCAAAATAATACTCATAAAACGTGAAATGTATTTCCTTTCAACGAGTCTTGGGTTGACAAAGTCTACTCTGTGTGAACGTCAAATAGCTTCAATGAAGAGCTGGAACAAACTTATGCAGAATACACCAAATCAGCATATCAAACAGTGCGGGATAAGATCATTTTTCAAACCTTAAAACGTCTTTAGAGGAAGAACTGAAAGAAAATGAATGGTTCGGAATTTTTGTTTTAGTTTTTGCTTTGAAAGAGCTGTTCATATCTACAGAGGAGGCTTGTCTTATCTGTGGAGTCTTCCTTGTTTCTACAGTAGCTCAGAGTGGACAAATCATATTTTCATATTTATCCCCATTATCTTGTCTCCTGCCGTTGCTTGCCTCCCCCCAGTTTGGATGACCTGGTGGTGGGAGCTCCAATGTTTATGCGTCGAGGGTCCAATGGGCGCTTGGAGGAGCTGGGTAAGGTGTACGTGTACCTTCAGAGAGGCCCTCTTCTGCTGGAGCCAAGCCAGTCCCACCTCCTGGGTCAACACGCCTTCAGTCGCTTCGGCTCTTCGCTGGCCCCTCTCGGCGATCTCAACCAGGATGGTTTCAATGGTAGGAATGATGGATTCAATGGTAGGAATGATGGATTCAATGGTAGGAATGATGGATTCAATGGTAGGAATGCTACTTAAGCCCTGTTTCCACCAAGGTTTGGTTCAGTACAGTGTGGTACGGTACACCCTGATCTCTCTTGTGTTTCCACAGCCAACGTACCCTTACTAACAGAGTGTAAGACGCATGACATCATAGCAGCGTGACACAGTGTAGCCCGCCAATTAATTCAATAGAGAAGTAGATTGCAACAAAGGGCAACAAAGGAGGACGTCCAGCAGGGGTCTGCAGCTCTGAGGTCGCCCGTGGGGCAGTGCTTCTCAAAGTAAAACAAAAAGAGATTTGTAATTATCGCTCTAAATCCATGGGATATTTAAACATGGCGAGTTTTGTGTTTGTCCTTTATTCCCGATGCCATACATATATGGCTCTTACATTCACATTTCAGAAAACATCTGATTCTTGACGTAAGCATTTTTCGCACATGCACTCCTGAAAATTTCTAGAAAATGTCAGGACGGACTGCACCTACATTTTTCCTCGGTTAGGTTCTTAGACTTTCCCTGTCATACCATGACAAAAAAAAAAAGAAGTGATGTGTTCACACATCAACAACATCCTGACTTCAAATGGAAACTTTAGCAGGGGGCTGGCATGAAAAATTCTGGTTACGTTGGTGCCGGAAAAAATCAGAAAATGTCAGGAACATTTTCAGGAGTTTTGTGTATGTGTGAAATCACCAACGGTGTGTTGTCGCTGACTTCATTCAGACATGGCCATCGGCTGTCCCTATGGAGGAGACGACCAACACGGATTGGTTCTCATTTACAACGGTCATGCTGGAGGTCTTATGGACACGCCCACTCAAACTCTCTCTGGCCAATGGGCTTCCAGCTCTTTCCCTGCCAGTTTTGGATATGCTCTGCGCGGCAACAGAGACCTGGATCAAAATGGCTACCCAGGTACTGCAGAAAGTATTCAACCACCTTGCTTTTGACTAAAGAAATAACCCCTGTTCTCCTTTGATATCTTCACTTATTCACCTTCTGTTTTTGCAGATCTGCTTGTTGGTGCCTTTGGGGTTGATAAAGCTGTGTTATACAGGTATGTTAATGCGCTTAGGAGTGTTATAACAACAATGTATTCTATCTATTACTCCCTTCATGGTCTGTATCTCTAATCAGGGCTCGGCCAATAGTGAGCGCCAGTGCATCTCTTACAGTGCAGCCCACCATGTTCAACCAGGAGGAGAAGACTTGTGAGCTGTTCACAGGGAATGAAATCGTCGCTGTGTCCTGGTAAGGCCATCTGTTTGATTCTTTGAGTTAATCTGGTGTTAATGGAAAAATGATACACCATTTTATGTGACATACAGTATTTGTCACTGCAGGGGGAAACATCTTGTAGAGCATTAAAGTGGTTAAAGCGCTCTCTGAAATTGACGGGAACATGGAAAGTCGTGCGTATGTTATGTAAGGCACATCTTCGTTCAATTTGAGCTTTCCAAACTTGTGCCTCACGAGAATGTCAAATGACTTCATGTTTACCAGTTTCCTGTCCAAGCTGCTCTCAACTACGCACACAGTATTCACGGAACCAGAGAAAAAAAAGAAAGGGGATATTCATCTTGCTTTCAATTTCAGTGTAGCTCTTTCCACATGTTCACTTGAGACAACGTTTTAGATGTGGAACATTTTCAGAGTGATGAGCGAGAGTTGCCAAACCGGCTGGTGCTTTAGTTTCTGCCCTGTAGGTTGATTGGAGTAAGTCTTGTCTTTGTGGTTATTGGTGTTTTTCGCTGCTGTGGAAACAAGAAAAACGACAAACTGAGCAGGGAAGAGGAGGTGGAAGAAAGATGGAGTGGTTATATGGAAAGACGAGTGCAGTTATTCATATCAAAAAGGTTGGAAAACAGTTGTAAGTTTCCCAACATGAACAAGATGTAGTTTGGCATCGGCAGCACTCCACACAGTTCGAGGTGTGTCCTTCCTTTACGTCTGCGTCTATACCACCACATAAACATGTTACTTTGATATTTCCACTGATAATTCAAGCATTTGAACCTTTTAAGTTGTTATTCTTAGGATTTCAGAACTGGACGACTTGGCAACAACCAGCGGTTAGCAAGGAAACATTTCATGAACAGCTGCTTTCTCAGAATAGCAGAGTCACTGGTGTGCCTGTTTTAATGTGCAGCCAAATGAACTCACAGTCACTTATTAAAGAAGTCTGTCAGTATTTATTTGAACCACATTCAGCTCACTGGATGCACATGGTGCACAAAGTGTTTCTAAATCTGTTAGGGCACAGAAAAGTCAGTTTCCCCGTTTATCCTCAATCTTACTCCTCACCTTGCCACAAAGCAAGACAGATCTCACTTGTTGACATGGCAAGGCTAACGTTTTGCTAAAATGCTAAAATGCAAAAAAAAAAGCAAGCAGCAGAAGAGGACCTAAAAATTAAAAACTCTTTCTAAGTCACAACTCGGCGAATACTTTTGATTCAACAGCATCTAAAGCCTGTTTAATTTCTGATTTGTACAGAGTGACCATGTTGTTAAGAGTGATCACTTTTGTGACATGTTTGTTACATTTAAGCCAAGTTACATGATGCCAAACAGGCAGCATTTCAACAAGTTAGAAATCAGTTTAGAAACAGACAAGTCAAACAAGAACTTGTAGATGTAGATGAGTAGCAGTAACCATGCCTGAATGTCATGTTGACTTTGTATTTACAATCACCGAGGAATTTTGAAAGGAGGAAAAAAATGCTGTTGTTGTTTTTTTTTTACTGTTGTTCTCATAATTATTTTAGCACTACATCTTTGTTCTTCTATCAGAGCAGACATAATAAGTAATAAGTGGATAATCAATAAACCCCCATGGCATGTCATTTTAAAATTTCATATGTTTTCCCTCGATTCTTCGCAGCTCCATAAGGTATAAAAGTTACTTGGGATAGTCCATTTGCATCGAGCAAACAGAACTGAATCGAGTTAAATGGAATCAGAACACATTGTTCTATATTTTAGTGAATCTGCCTTGAAGCCAATGGGCCGAGATCTGAATCGGATCGTCTTGTAAAAGAGGAAATCACACCCCTAATAGGTCGACAGTCTTCACCCAGTGCAGGAATGACCACCCTGCCACTTCCACTAAAAAACAAAAAGAGATCATTACTGAACGCCGATACATTCAACGGCTATCGCAGTAAAAGTAGACACTAAATGTCATCATCATGGGGTTTGTTTTCAAGAAAAAACTGTAAAGATTGAAGCACATATAGATAGAGCAGTATGCCTCAGATCAGTGTAAACACATCTGTATCAGATCAGCACACAGATTTTTTTTTCTTTATATTTTTCTCTGTATTTATTCTCCAGTGTCAGCGTCAGTTTCTGCCTGCTGGCTAATGGGAAGCACGTCCCCTCTCATCTAGGTGAGGCAAACACACACACTCTTTCTCTCTCTCTTACACACACACACACACACACATGAACACACACAGACACACACACGCACACACATGGTCCCTATTACCTTGCTTTCTCTGTGTTGCCGCAAGTATGCCGGACCCTCACTGTGGTCAATTTGGCAGTTAAGATCAAGATAAAAGAACAATCATGTAAATACAGGGTAACTTAGTGGACTCCAGCAGTTTAGAAAAGTGTGTGTGTGTTTATTTAAAGTGCGTGGGTGTGTGTTGTCTGTGCCCCCTGCATAGTTGCTGTCATGTGGGCCACAGAAATGCCCTCGGTGGGTTTTTACATACTGTGCAAGTAACACATGAAGGCTCTTCCCCATCGTCATGTTAACCACTGTTTGTGTATATTTGCATGTGGCTAGGCATGCATGTAATATGTCAGTGTTTCTGTGCCTGTACATACATTTTAACTTAAACCCCTATGATTAATGTAAACATTCTGTAAACATGGATGTACAGATGGCGTGCATGTACTCATTGATATCCTGTCTTGTGTGCGTGTGTGTTTTTATGTGTATGTCTTCCAGACTTTGTGGTGGAGGTTCAGTTGGACAGTGGGAAGCAGAATCAGAAAGAGTCCATCAGAAGGACTCTGTTCCTGGACAGCCAGCAGAGCAGCCTGCTGAAGACGTTCAGCCTTGCTATTGGAGAACACTCCTGCCATGAGGCCAAGGTCTACCTGCGGGTCAGTCCCATACTTTTTACCTCCATGCCAGGCAGACTGGTGCATACTTTTTTTCATCCATCAGGTAGATAGACAATAATTACACAGGACAGTAGTGGCTTTGTGTGCCAACACTCAGGGGCATCATGTAAGCCAAAATTCTGGTGGGGGGGGGGAGTTAGAGTCGGGTCAAGGGGTTCGTATTATAAAAAAAATGGTCAGAATGATGCCATTTTCTGCATTTTGAAACATTTATAACAAAAACAGAATGGGTATTATTTCTCGATCAGTCTGAAAGTCTGAGTTAACCTCAGTTAAATCATGCAAAATACCTAATTGCTCATTTTTCCGTAGCTCTTTCATCAGATTTTTTTCATACTTTAAATAATAAAATATAATTTCTACATACTGTATAAAATAAAATAAAAAGCAATACTAAGATGTGAGAAAAATCCTGTCCGATTTTAGAAAAAATCTTAGTTTCTATGGGCATGAGGCCTCTGTCTATACTTAGTCACATTTACAATGCTAACATTAGCATGCTATAATGATTACACTGACAATGCTATCATGCTCACTTTTGGATCTTTGTTACCATTTCGGGTAAGCAAGTTACAAGTTACACGCTAACTAATGATAAAAAGCAAAAAGAACTCGTTCAGAGTTCTACACAAGAGCAAAGTATGTCGCCCACAGATAAGCGGTGGGTGATATACTGTATATTTCTTACGATTCTCATGGGAGCTTTTTATGTCTTTATTAAAGATACAGGACAGTGGATAGAGTTGGAAATTGCTAAGAGAGAGAGAGAGAGAGAGAGGGTAGGTGGGATTCAAACCCGCGGTGTCTGCTTCCAGAAGCACAGTTTCTGTATGTGTGGCGTGCAAAATAACCACAAGGCCACTGGCGCCCGAGCATTGGATGATTTTGAACAGCCACTACAAAAACAGTGCACATAGCAGTTCCATCATCAAATGAACTGAATTTTCCAGTATTTTCTTGAAAAAAAAGTTTTAAAAAGTTAAAAATATTCTCCAATAACTTTTTTTTTCCGGCCAATCATCTGAATCCTTTGCTTTAATATCTTTCAAATGTGTTCCCCCTTCTACCCCCCCCCTAGCCCCCTAGGGGCCGGTGCCCTGCTTGTTTTTATTTGAGACATTTAATCAGCGACTGTTTTGCACCTGCAGTTCCAGGTGAACGTAATTATCTTGTTGCCAGGACAGAGGTTAACGTCATTTCCTAATAGGCAGGGTTTGAAGTCGCTGTTTGAAGTTCTATTCGGGGGGTGAAACTACTACAGTACCAATCTTCCCATCACTCAGTGGTGACCCGATCAAAGCGAGTGCCTGCCAAAAACACTTATGTCATATGTGTAGATGCTCTCTGGAAGGAGTATTCTGCTCTTTGGAGGATTAAGAGACAGTTTGAGTGCAATCTGTCAACCCTTCACTCACCTGTCAGTCAACACCTGTTTACTCACTATGTCTAGCTGTGACTCTTTCTGAAAGGGGGAAACATCCTCTCAGCTCAGAGAACTGAATTCATGTCACGTCTCAGAGAAACTTCAAACACACCGAATGCTACAGTCGGGGCCAGTCCTTCTTCTACATCTGCTTCTGATTTTGGGAAGTTTCCAGCTCTAAAATACTGGAAGTCTCCACATTAGCAACAAATGTGTAACCAGCCTTTACCCCTAATCTGAAGTGCGAGCTTTTTAAAGAATATCTGGGATCATGTGGGTTGTGTGTCATTGAACAAAATACTCAAACATCGCTGCTTCTTTTCTTGTTGTAAGGGCGAGGAGGAGTTTAGGGATAAACTCTCCCCTGTTTACATCAGTCTGAACTTCAGTCTGGATCCTCATGCCCCCGTGGACCAGCATGGCCTCAGACCAATCCTGAATTATCAGACAGAACAGCCCGTAGAGCAGAAGGTATGTACACTAACTCACAATACAGAATGACTCATCCCCAGCCACAGGGTCATTCTGCATGTTCATGTCATGTTGGTGTCCTTTCACTGAGATTATTTCTCATACTATGGTTGCTTAGTTTCAGTATTTTTCTTTACTTTTGTATTAATGTCAGCACTCTAACTCAGCTTGTAGTGAAGTACACTGCTATAGTGTTCTAATATTTGAATGTAGTGATATGCAGTGCTATAAAAGGGAGATTAATGATTCTAGAGGCAACCTTCACTCGTCTTTTAAGTAACCCAGAGTACTAACTACTGTGGATGTTTAGTTCCCTCGTAATTTTTGGTTTTCTTTTGATAACTAAATGCACATTTCAAGCAAAGAAAGAACTGATTTCAGCTTCTCGAATGTGAAGATTTGCTGTATTTCTCAGTTTTTCTAGGGTTTTAGCTGAATGTGAATGGGTTTTTGTTCATGGTCAGATCGAACATGTCAATTGAATATTAGAGGTGGGGAAAAGAATCGAGATCTTCAGAGATTTTAAATAGATTCATAACTTCCAAAAAGCTGTTTCACTCACAGATGACTGCAGTAGATCCTGAAGTTTGTACTAATTCAAAAACAGACTTTTAATTGTGAATTCAGAATCTTTTTGAATGGACAATAGATTCTGAATCGAATCGTGACCCCAAGAATTGAAATCGAATCGTGAGACACCCAAAGATTCCCAGCCTTATTGAATATATAAATTAGGGGTTTCTTAGCATGTTTTTTTTTAACTTTAAATAGACAAACCAATAAAATTAAATCCAGATTTATAGCTAAAATTAACCAATTGGTGTCGTGTTTTGATTTCCAGCTAATGTCCAGTGCAAACTCCATGGTTTCCCAGGTAAATAACACCTGTAGATTAAATCAAAAAACCATGCAGTGATTCAATTTCAGTATATTGATGTTTTTTTCTTTTTTAAATGGTAAACGGTAAATGGACTTGAGCTTGTATAGTTATTTTCTAGTCTTCTGACTTCTCAAAAGCGTTTTTATACTGCAGGTCACACCTACACATTCACACACTGATGGTAGAGGCTGCTCTGTAAAGTGACCATCAGAAGTAACTAATCCCATTCATACACATTTATACACTACTGACGAATCAGCAGATGCAACTTGGCGTTAAGTGTCTTGTCGACTGACTCTACTAACTTAACCACAGCCGCTCCGGCATGTCACCCTCCAACTCTTAATTTCATTGTAATAGTGTTTAGTATTAATCTCTTTCTTGGAAACCCCTGAAGCACCGTTTTGTTTTGGTTTAATGGACGTTCAGCTTCCAGAAGTATAAGTAGTGTAGCTTTTCTCTGTATAGAGCTGTAAAACGCGTCCTTATATTAAACCAGCAGACTAAACCTCCAGACCGCAGCACTCACACGGCCACACGCCCTGCACTTTATGAACTAAACACTCAGTCACTACAACAAACACCGAGTGGAGAGAGAGTTTAGTGGATGGCTTTTTAAACACTTTCACATAACTTCACCAAACAATCTAAATCATGAACAAATGACTGACACAGAGGTTCTGTGTACTTTACCGATTTAACTCTCCACAGCACTGCACATCTACCATTGATTATATTTAGCATTTTGGATATTTTTGAAAGACAAAAATGGACAACTCAGGCCTCCATTTTTTTAAAATTGACATTAAACAACCTGTCTGTCGTCCCAAACCCCATATGGTTAGATATTGAAGATCAGCTCTGATAGAACAAGCGCTACTGACTGCACTCTGGTCTCCACTGGCAGAGTTTTTACTTTCCTGTACGAAGAGTTGGAAGGTTTATGGAGGACTGGCGAGTCATGGCTCTGCAAAAGCACAGAGAGACGCCTGACAGCTCAGTTAGGGTGGGGCGGTACTCGGCTCTCAGACATCTGGCTGTGGTTTGTTTATGTATGTTGCCAGTGCTCTCCTCCACCAGGCACCAGGCAGAGTCTGAAACGTGCTTGTGTTTATGTGAGTGATATAAGGTGAAGTGAGTGTGTGATGTGGCTGTGGAAGGGGGTTCATCATTCACTTTTAACTGGTTGTTTTCAACACAATACATGAACTTTCTTGCCTAGTTCTTCCGTCTTATGTCTGAGGAACCAAGCTGGGGTTTTTGTCCATTGATTGGTAAACTAAAGTTACGAGAACATAGTGAAAATATACATATATATTCCAACAGAATGTGGATCCTGATACTACTTAGCGTAGAGTGATATGAGTCTTATATTATATTATACATATATTTTGGTAACCTGAGTGTCTACTGACCCACAAAATGTGAAATAAACCCATCCAGTCCTTTGTTTGTGGTCTGCATAAGTCTTACAACACAGAGAAAAATGTTCCGTTTCAAATTTGCTCTCCTTGTGATGTCACAGTGGGATTCTGGTAAAAAAAAATCCCCTCCCCTCCCCTGGTATCTCCACCCATGGAGTCCACCCCCAGCCTAGAGAAAAACTTTTGCGCAGGTCTGCGATTTTTATTCTTGCTACAGAGGAGTGATGTCTACCGGGAAAACTCAAAGGGAGGAGGGGGTCATTGCATTTAAAGAGACACACACACCAAAACAGAGCGTTCTGAGAGAGCTTTTTTATACAGGGTCACAAACCTCCTCTGGTGCTTTAATCATGTTATATTTTGACCAAAGCACAGAACAGATGTTTCATTTAGACCACAGGGGGACTGTTTGAAAAGGTGGAGAAGGGGGATAATATGTCCTCTTTAACATCTACTGTATTTATTTGGGACCATAGATGGTCATCCAATGTTTGCATTCAAAGGTGGTGGTTTTACCTTTTTTTGTGGTCAATCAAGTTATTTTTTCCTCATATAACAAAACAAGGGATGCATTAAAAAAGGCTGAAAATCAATGTTTTGCTGAAGTCCATCTGTTAAATTTTGCAAATCTGTGGCATGATGAAACATTTAACGGTTGTGCAATATTAAGGGTGTGGTCGCAGTGCAGCACACCACAGTTCTGACCACTCACAGTTAAAATAAGACGTCTGAAGCTTTTTATACAGTCAAAGCCCGTTATTCAGACCATTAATGTTTTTTCACTGATTGCCATATTACGTACTAACACTCGGTTGTAGCCTTTCTAAATGACAGTTTGAGTTTCTCTTGGCTGAGACGGAGGTGGCTGGCTGAGATTCAAACAGCAACATATTTATGACTTTCTGGGAATCTAATGCCGGTTTCCACCATTGTTCTCCTGATTTCTATTGAATGTAGACTGATGATATTCTGCTTTACTCAGCAGTTTAGACAATAATTCTTACTGTAGATTAACACTCTCCGAGGTGAAAAATAACAAAAGAAGCTCCTGATCCTTTTTGATGTTACTGTCACTGTAAAAAGTAAATATGGGTAAAGATTATGTTCTCTTCCATAATCATTGAAGTAAATATTCCAGAGATCATTTTTTATCAAAAAAGGAAATTTTTCAGACGGACAATTCAGCGGAAAATGACTTTTTGGCCCATTTGGCGCTGGTTTCCTGTGATGCGGTCTTAATTTAAGTTGTTTTCTCCAGATTTTGACTTATTTTTCTTATCACCTTGAGATAACAAATCTGGCTTTCCTATTATAACTGATTATTACATCTCATCATCTCTCCATAGAACAAAACTTGTTTTCTCATGAGAACGGGATTCAATTCTGCCGATCTATAAAACAAGGTAATAGGCTGGTCACTGATGTCAAAGGCCAGACCAAGACACACCATGCTGTCATTGCCAACTCTATAAATGAAGCCTATTTCTCTGTTTTTTGGTTTGTGCTTTTACAACTCTGAAGACACGCGAAAAATAAGTTGAGATCTCGAGAAAACAGATGGAATTTTATTTTTATCATAGGAAAAATTAGTTAATATAATGCATGTCCGCTTACGGGCTTCCGTGCTCGGCAACACTGTTTCTCAAGATGTGGGACCGATATCTTTCCATTGGTGCAGAACCGTCAGTGCTGGTGATTCCAACTGGATCAATCAATATTTAAAGGGACCTAGATTTTTTTTTTTTTTAAATATGAAAATATAGAGTTTCATCACTTTAATAATTGTCTTATATTTCTTGAATTTACCTGTTCAGGAGGGGTATAGAGAGACCAAGCCCTCTGCAGAGACAGGAATTGTTCTGAATTTTAAACCATTGACATTTCATTTCATTTTTTTTTTTATTTTATTTTATTTTTTCAGAAAAAAAAAAAGAAGAAAAAAACGATTCACACTTTATCCCATGTACGGAAAGGTGCAGGGAGAAGAATAAATCTTGTTTTGCTTGCCCCCCCTTATTCAAAAAGCAAACAATAAACATCTGGATGGTCTGTCCAATTACAATCAATGAATGAATATCATGACAACAATAAAACAAATCTGACAATTCAGTCTTCACTTCCTCAGAAATAAGAAGGAAAACACACAAAACACACTGACTGCCACTTTCATACAGTCTGATAACTTTAAAATGGCTTTTAATGCATCGTCGTTTTTGTTGTTGTTGTTGTTTGTGCCTTTATTGTAGAGACAGGACAGTGGATAGAGTCAGAAATCAGGGAGAGAGAGAGAGAGTGGGGAATGCCATGCAGGAAAGGAGCCGCAGGTCAGTTTCAAACCCGGGTCGCCTGCTTGGACGACCACAGCCTCTGTTACATGGGGTGCCCACACTAACCACTAGGCTACCAGCGCTGCCCCATGCCTCATCTTTTTTTTTTTACAGAGCAGATTTGATCTATCTCATGGGGAAGATGAAAAGACGAATGTGAAAAAAAATGATGAAAGGGAGTTGGGACTTATCGCTTGATCTCAGTCTGTAACCGTGAACGTGTGTTCCAGCCGGTTTGGTGTTAAATGACCGATAACCTCGTGAGTCCAGCGTGAATGTAAAACCAGGGTCTCCGCTGAGACAGTGTTAACCATTGCCAGGCTGACTCTTTCGCTCTCTGTAGCCCTCCGTATGCATTCTTTTGGAAACATAATGTTTCCCATGTGTTGGAGAGATGAGGGTATGGCAACACACACAAAAAAAAAAAAAGAAACGACAATATGGAGCTACATGAGAGAGAGAGAGGGTCGAGACAGAATAGGAGACGAGAGAGACTGCAGTGAAAAAGCTCAGGGGACACACTGGAGAAGACAATACCATGAACTCAAGTCACATCCATCTTTCATTGCGGTTTCTGTAAAGTCATCAGTCAGAAAGAGACTAAAGAGCACATTAAGTCCTTGAAACTATTGAGGTCGTCACTGTGTTTGATTGAGGCTTTCCCGCAAAAAAAAACGTTTTATTTGTTTAGACGGAATTCATCATCCTTTCATTGCCCTGAACCTCCACCATCTTTTCCTCCGTTTCTTCTTGACCACATTTAAAGCACACTCAACTTTGATCCTGCAAGCATGAAAGAAAAGGGCTTCCATATAACTTCTTACCATCTGGTTGTTCCACATTTTGTTGCAGTTTTGTGCATGGAAGGATAAACGTATAGTCCGGTATCCCCTCTTATCCCTTTCATTAAATCCTGAATCTAGCAGGCTTGCTGAGTAAACATCCACTTCCTCCAGAGGTTTTTTCTCCCTCCATACCTCAGACCTTTTGTTTCACTTGATGCTTCTCTGTCTTTCGCTCATCCGAGCCATCCCTCGCTCCCCCCGTTCACCTCTATCCATGCTCTCTCTTTTTCTCAGGCCCAGATTCAGCTCGATTGCGGGGAGGACAACATCTGCGTCCCTGACCTCAAGCTGGCTGTTTACGGGTGAGAGGAAATCACCTTTCAATTACTATACCTGATTCTACAAACACAACTTCAGCCCTGCAGTCATGCAAAGCTTAATCTGCCGCAGTTTTCTCCCTCTGTGGCGGATGAAACACAACAGAGATTTAACCTACCTTCTAATATTTGCCATATGAAATCCACAGTGCGTCTGGTGGGTCTTTCCTCAGCTGCATGTGAAGTGATGCATTGTGTGTTTCTGGTTATGTGTGTAATGAACTCAAGAACACAATGCTGTAGCATTGCTAACACAAACACTCTTTGCAGTGTTGGGCTGCAACAAGGTCCAACATTAGCATCCATTTTCAGGTTGTCTGTAGCCATCCAGTTAATGGAAATTCAACGTTAAAGAGAACTACAAGTAATGCTAATGTACAGGGGGATGAAAACAATAGCCTACTGGGAATTGAACCAACACATGAAATCTAAAGACACTCAACCCCAAACAATTCAAACAATGAGACTTGAGTATCCCTGTTTTTGTGTTTGTGCATGCGAACATAATTTTATCCAGATTTCAGGAACTGTGATAATCCCTTACCACGGTGAGAAAACTGATTTTTCAACCCAGAGAAAAAAAAAAGATACTGTTTTACCTGCATGTATGTCTTACCCCAGATTCTGCAAGCTGGCAGAAACAGGGATATTATATATCATGATATATTTATCATTTAGACAGGGATATGAAGAAAAAAAAAAGGTTTCTCTGTGTGCATGTTAACGCCATATCCTGAATATGACCAAAACTGGGAGTATAGGCTCATAACTGGGATGCTCAGGTCCATGTAAACCATGTAGAGCTGAATTGAACTGTAGTGATGTGTGATACTTCTTTGTGGTTTATTTAACCTCTTACAATCCAAATCAATATTTAAATGTGCTAAATATGATAATAATCCAAAGTGCTGTTATATTTGTCATATTGGTAAGTGCAGCACAGCACTGCAGTAAATGAGCAACAAACAAGGTTTATTGTGATTATATTATAATGACATAAAGATTAACAATGCTTAAATTCATAAATGTTTTAAAGTTGTTTATATTTTTTTTTTACCACAATAAATGTCCTGTCCATCATCAAATAGGTGGATTTTACCCTCATGTTATTATTAATACCTCAGTCGTTAGACAACCAGGTCACTCCACTTGTCTTTGATTTTGAAGTAGGCCTACTTATATGTAAACAAGAATAGAAAAAAAATAAAAGATAAAACCATCAACAAGTGGGTACTGGATCCAAAGTGAACCTCCATCCATCTTTATCCTCTTAGGGAAACAATACATTCACTCACTTAAAGAAACACAAATCTGTGACACATTGTGCTTCCTTCTTTTCAGATTCAATTCTGTATCCACACATCTCTGCGTGGTTAAACGCTCTAACACCATTATTACTTTACAGAATAAAAGAAGAATGACTGTAAATGCTGAAAGGCTGTTAGTCTGTAGTCAGTCAAAGTTCCGATTCGATTACGATACACGTGTACTGATGCATGAATTGTACTTTTGATCAGATAGAAGGAGCTGTTCCATCTCGTCTGAATGTCGTCATGGAGACGATCCGTGGACACTTCTTACAGTTCAGTCTGAATGTCAGTCCGACATCTGATCCACAAATGATGTCAATATCAGACCCGATACTGATTTAAGATCGGATCGGTCCCATCTCTAGTATCATGCATGCCATCACATTAGCTCTTGGCTGAAGAGATGAAGATATCTCCGGTTGGTTTCTTGTCATTCCAGTGATCATTAAGGCTTGAACAACAAATAAACGCTGGTTTGAAAACAGAAGAAAGTCAGCTTTTCCAAATATTTGATGTGGGGAGGAAATGCACTCAAAAGTATATTTTTAAGGCTTCAGGACACTGACTGTAAACGTCCCTGTCTTTGCCAACAATACAATGAAGCAGAGTACTTTTCAATTCTTTATTTTTTCAGTCAAATGAGATCAAACATGATAATGAATGAAGCATCAGTGTTGTTGTTGTGCATATCTGCAGATTTATTAAGCATACCAGCGATGGATGACAGTGAGTTTGATGAAGACAGTCAAAGAGAAGAAGCTCGGGGAAGAGGATTTACAGCTCATAACACGATTACATTGGGAGTACAGAGATAGAGAAACGATTCACGACTCTTGGCGCTGTCACACATTGTTAATGAGTCATGTATCCATGTTTTGCGACTAGGCTCCAGCCATGATATTGGCTCCGTCTCAGCCCATTCACAAAGGCAACTCTCTCTTTCTCAGACTCTTCCAGCCAGCAGTGTTTTCAGGACTGTTTTTCATTACGTGACCATGTGACATCTCTTAGCTGCGGAGTCACAATCGGAGCAAAACGTCTCCCATGAAAACTCGAAAAGAATCTGCATTTGTAGCTATCATGGGACTACACCTTAATGACTCATCTTTTTCCTCTCTTAACAGAAAGTCCCTTTCACTGACATAGTGCAAGACGCTGCACTTTTTCTCTTGCAAACCAGGAATTTGCAAACACTGGGATGTTTAAAATTCTCAACCCAGAGGCCTGTCAAGGCGCCGCTCGTGTTTGAGTTGTAGCCTCACGCTTCCATTATTCTTTTGTGAGCTTTATGACCCACTGTCATATTTCCTCACAAAAAAGAAACATAGGGTAGTTAACATCTCGTCTATCCGCTGCAGACATCTGTCAGTCCTCAGCATTCTGCTCAGTGTTGCTTGAAGCTTAATTAAAATCATCTGTTGGTCGTCTTTACCTAGCGCGGGTTCACTGCGTCCAGGACCCCCCCCCCTTAAAGACGGGGGAGGGGAGGAGGAAACGGAGAATGAAAGAAGAAACCCCTGATTTTGACCCTCAACCAGACTCCTTTCTCTACTTTCTTGCTCAATAGAAACATGAATTTATCACCACTAGTGGCTGGGGGAGGGCCCCGGGTTGTAGGGTGTCGGGAGTCGGAAGATTTATCAACGCGATGAAGGGGGTTGCACACAAGGGGCGTCTCTGTGAACATGCTGGATAAGGTGGGGGTGAGTTTCCTGAAACAAATCACAGTGATCAGATTTGGGTCATTTCCCATGTCAGTCAAGGACAGATATGGCGTAGAAAATGGCCTTCGGGGACTGCCTAAACAGAGGTGCATTGTCTGAAAAGTATTTCCGTACCTGCTTTTCATTACTTTTTACAATGGCTTTTTTTAGTCATTGCACTGCACAGAGTCACTTTAAATGAACGCTGCAGCAGAGGTAACTAAAGTGTGCCAGCAAACAGGTTTTAGGGGACTACTGCTTTCTGTCAGTTTTTTACAACAGACACAAAGAATGGCTGTGTAAAAGATACTTCAGGGATATAACACATGAAGAAGCAATACGGGAGTTTAGCAGAAATCAACCACTGCTTACTTTATGGTGCGCTGAACACTGTGTTCATCATGTTGTTGTCCTGTTGTAATGTAAAGTGAGAGTTATTGTACACTATATATTGGATAAGGAGTGTGATGGTTAGCGCAGCGCAGAGCTAACGGTTGAACAGTGTGGTGATGTGATTTTGCTGACGAAACACTCTGTAGAGTCACAGCATCAAATCTCTCCAGATAGCATGAAGGGAGAAGAACGACAGTGAATGATTTCACACTCGATGAAACGCTAATGCTACAGTGGAGGTGAGATTGTTTTTGGTGTCCCCTTTGATTTCCCACCTTTTTAAAAAAATAAACTGCAGCTGATACAAAACTTTACAGACATAGATCCAGGGCAAAGTGTTGATGTACACTTTAAACATTAATAATAGGTTTAAGAGAAGAGTCTTTAGGGTCCTAAGTCTCTGACTAGACTCTTCTCCTCTGTCGCCCCCCGGTGGTGGAACGAACCTCCAAACTCCATTCGATCTGCAGAGTCCCTCTGCACCTTTAAGAAAAAGCTAAAGACCCAGCTCTTTCATGAATACCTACTAACTTAATGATGATGGTCTCCATATCATTGATGATCCTTGCTTGTGTTGTTCTTGCTCTCTGATGTACGTCGCTTTGGATAAAAGTGTCTGCTAAATTAATATTAGAATTATAGAAGAGTCACGATATGTTCGCAGCTTGGTGAGGTAAAGTGACTAACATACTGATGTATAGCAGGTCTATTTATCATGTTTCCATTCTTAGTTTGGCATGTTAGCATTGTTAAATAAAGACAAATCACAGCTGAGGAGGATTACTCTTTCTGACAGCTTTTTGACCTGACCTGATGGTGGAGTTTGATGAACAGTGAAGGGATCAGGATATTTCAGTGTTAATCAGAGCCAGAGTAAATAATATGTCGGCATTCTCTGTCTCAATCTGAAAATGTTCTGTATCCAGTTCAAGCACATGTTCAAGAAATTAAAGCAGTTTTTATTTTACCCAGATTTTTTCCAGCGTATTTCTCTCAAACAAAAAACAAAAAAAAGGTTGTTAAAAACCTCTTCTGCAGCAAAGCCGACAACATAAATGAAGTGTTTTCTAAACTTAGAGCTGCAACTTTTTCAAGAAGGAGTAGTTTGGAGTAGTCAGAAGAGAATTGAAATGCAGTTCTCAGAGACTCAGACAGAACTTAAGTCAGGTGGCGAATGTGTTGTGGAGAATTTTCGTCTAAATGTTGTAGAAATTAGATGGAAGCCTTCTGGCCTAAGGGACTTTCCTGACTGCAAAGCAGATGTGACTTCAGCTACTTCCTCCTTTGTTATGGGTTCTAATAGTGAAAGTTTTCTTTTTTAAAGGTATGAGGCAATGATGGAATATTTGCTTGACTGAAAAGTTTCTCTATAGTCCTCCTGTTACAGGGAGATTTGCGGGTGTGTAACCTGAAGTTGCATTTATTAAATGTTTCATTGATTTTGGGTAAATTTAAGGTAACCTTGCTGCGTCCTTCTAAGTCTCTCACTTTGGCGGTTTTCTTGGAGATGCCTCCACACAGCCTGGAAAAGAGAGAACCTAGATCTTGCAGGTTTTGTTAAAAATTCAAAAATATTTTTAAAAAGTCCAGAGGAAACACCGGGAGGTTAAGAGGACAAATATCCAGGAGTAAGACAGAGCGGTTGACACATGACGAACTGACACAGACGGGAGTGAACCCAGAGCCTAAATAGACACGGGGTAATCAAAACCAGGTGTGACAAACAAGACGGGTGAAACTGAGTGGGGGGAAAACACACGAGGGCAACAAGATGTGAAACACTGGGGGAAAGAACTACAAAATAAAACAGGAAACACTAAAGACCAACAGAGATCTCGGGGATATAAGAGTAACAACAAACACAAGAGAGGAAAAGACAAAATAAAACAGGAAGCAATATCACATAAATAAAAATATCAAACTAAACCAGAAACTCACTCGACCTTCACACATGTTTCAATGTCTGAAAGCTTTTCCTGCAAATAGCTTTAAAGCTCCACTATTCAAAATAACAATACTATATCAACAACTGATGACTTGCATGTAGGATCATCTAACAGCAAGATATAGAACAGGTAGACAACTTTAGGAGGAACAAATTTAGGGGGAAATGAGGGCCGATACCGATGTTAAAAATAGAAATGTTTGCCGATTTCAGATTCCGATACTGATGTTTTTTTTATGACTTCTTTTGACTCCCACAAGGCCAACATGTTCTCTCCTGTTTGACTATAAAAACAGATCAAGGTTTGTCCAACGAGTGACTCCCTCCGGCCAATACGTGACACGTGACACGACCGCTGCACTGAAAATGATGATTGATGATTGATGATGATTTTTCAGTGATATTTATGGTCTCGGTCTGGACTCGGTCTGGATCCCTAAATGTCTCGGTCTTAGTTTCATTCCCTGTGTCCTACAGTCAACATGTCAAGGTGTTCTTAAAGAAGATACTGAACCCCAAATTGCTGCCAGGAGCTGTGCTTTAAGTGCAAATGTGTATCGAAGTTGTAGAAATAGCATTGATAGCATGCAGTGTAAAGCACTTTAAATGTAGGAAAGGTCTCAAGATTCATTTTATCCATCTTTAAAATATATTTTCAGTGGCTAATGCGTCCAAGTTGTAAAATTCAACGAAAATGCTGCAATGTAATCTGCTCATTTTTCAATTCAATAATCTTCACAGACTCTGTTATGGGTTCTGTCGTTATCCACATCACATTTAAAAAGGTAACAGAAGTGTATTCTGACACGTTGTAAACACTGTTGTTGTTGTTGTTGTTGTGGTTCTCCCCTCACAGTGACAGACATGAGGTTTACCTGGGGGATGAAAACTCTTTGAGCCTCACCTTCAACGCCAGGAACGAGGGCGAGGGAGGGGCGTATGAGGCCGAGCTCTATGTGGTGCTCCCCCCGCAGGCCGACTACAGCGGGATAGCGCGCAACAATGTGGTGAGACAAACCAAAACCACACCTCTCTCCCTTTTTGATGTGTGCATGAATACAGGCTTTTATTAATTTTGCTTTATAAATGAATTCTTTATTATTACTGTTATTCAACTTTAAAGGAGCAATATGTAACTCTGACACCTAGTGTTTAAAATGGGTACTGCAGTCTAAATTCAAAACATCGGTGAGAGCTGTCTCCCCCTCCCCCCACCTCCCTAGAGTTGAGGTGCACGCAACCTGTCGATACAGTGGACACAGAAGCTCCAGTGTTTAGCCAGCTTTGCATCTCCATTTTTTAAAAGCATCTTTAATATTTTTTAGTTCATGTAGAATCAGTTATATCTGAACCAGTTCGCTTGCCCGCTTCCATCGCTGCAACACCTGTTGGTTTGCTGTTACCCTGGCAAACTGAGGGGTGTCCAAAACGGCAATTTGAGGGTGCCCTAAAACTGTCTACCTTCTCTAGTCAAAACAAAAACAGAGCATTCAGGAGCAGAATCTAAAGTTAGAAGGAGGACATACTGGCTGCTGCATTGTTCCCAGAGAAGCCAGCACTTCAACAGAGCATGTTTCCTTAATGCCTGATCATATAGTGAGCTCACTTTATAATTTAATTCAGTAGATATCTCACATATTGCTCATTTAATAACAACCCATAACTCTGGCTTTAGTAACACTAAACAGCATTTTTGCTGATCATTTGATTTCTCAACAAAGCAAACATTTAATCCAGTGCTGTGTAGTGATGTGCAATCTGAGAGAAGCACTAAGTAAAAAAAAAACACAAGAAAGGAGAACATTTTTTTGGGCAGAAAACACATCATCAAAAATAGTCATGAAAGCGTTCTGCCCACCATTATGTATAATGATGTCTTCTATAAAACCATGCAAAGTGTTTAAGTTGCTCTTTTTGTGTCTAGTAATGTTTTCGTCTGATTGAGAGTTGACTGTGTCGAATGTTTTTGCGCTTTCATGTCCTCTCCAGAGCTTGACTCAGCTGACGTGCAGTTATGAGGCAGAGAACCAGACCCGCTATCTCCTGTGTGATCTGGGAAACCCCATGAAGTCTGGGACCAGTGTAAGAGCCAACAAAGCCTACAAAATGACTTCAGCCCTTTTTTTCATTATTTTGTCTCGGAGCAGTAACAAAGCTGCCCCGAGACAAAGCTTTGCAAACTGTTTTTCACTCACAATCACATAGAATCAAACTTTCATGTAGAAATCCAATCACCCTGCTTCCAAAGCATTGGGGAATATGAAAGACCGGTCGAAGAGATCAAGGCTATGTTAAGGATTAATTCATCTTTTTTTAAGTTTCTTTCTGGTGGAGGCAGCTAAAACTGTCCACTCATTTAGACAAAAATATGTTTATGGGAAATTAGAAAAGTATTTTATGCATTGTGAAAATGTAGAATTAAGTCGTTCTCTATCGAATACAAGACGTCTCTTTTCATTTGTCATCCTATTAGTTTTCGATGTTCCTTTGATTCTATTTTTTTTTTCATATTTCCTCTGGGTCATTTTCTAGTTATGGGCCGGCCTTCGGTTCACTGTGCCAAGACTGAAGGACACCCAGAGCACTGTGCAGTTTGAGCTCCAGATAAGAAGGTAGCTCTCTTCAACCTTTTGTTCTGTTTTATTTTATATCTTCAAATCCAGTTTATTTTTTTAATTTCTTAATTTTTTAATGTATTATTATATTTATTACAATTTCCCAGTTTGGGATCAATAAAGTAATTCTATTCTATATTTATTTAACTCCTGTTCATTAGCACTGTTAAAGATTTGCTGGTATTAGTCTTATTTCTCTCTGATAAATTGAGTTGGTGTTTCGTCTCTCTGCTGTGTCTCTTGTAGTAAAAATGCAAATAACTCAGAGAGTGAGGTGGTTCTGTTGGAGCTGGAGGTGGCTGCTATGGCTGATGTCATTCTGCAGGGGTGAGGGTTCATTGCCGACTCTTCCACGACGTCATCACATCACTTTGAGATAATGGATCTTATCATGTTAGTGCCTGCCAAGGTAAAGGCCAAACGCTGTGTTTTTTTTCTTCTGTTGCAGTGTTTCTCGGCCAGACAAAGTCATCTTCCCTCCTCCAAACTGGACTGTGAGTCAGAGTCTGAGGGAGGAGCAGGACGTCGGCCCTGAGATTCTGCAGGTCTACGAGGTGTGCAAAGTTTTCTTACAGACCTTCTCAGACAGTATCAGATGCCTCTGTACAGTTCAGTTTGTTTTTAGTGATGATTGAAATGAAAAAATGAAAATATTTTGCTTATGAATGTGACGGCGAGCATGGTGTGCATGGCATCATACAGTGTGATATCTGCTTTTGCTGATGGCATGCCACCAGAGTTTCAGCGTGCTGGTGCTCCCAAATCAGCAGGCCAAACGCCCCGTTCTGATCCCGGCGTTGCTGTATTAATGGAGTGTGTGAAGATAAGGGTCGTCAGTGGGGTTGGAAAGGTCCTGTGACAGTCAGCCATGTCTCGCACTTTATCTCCCAGACTAGTCTGATGGCCACTGTCATGAAAAGTGACGTTAAAAAATAAAATAACTGGGTACAAGGCGAGTATGAAAGAAGCAGCTCTGATGTTAAATATAAATGAACACATGTACGTCCCCCTTTCTATTTCAAATAATGAGAAAATAACATTTATCAACATAATCAGTTGGGTATCTCAGATAATTTAATACATCGTTTAATTCATGTGATTTTTGAAACTACGATCTTCTTATTCATGTTATTTTGCATGAGTCATACTTAAAAATCCCTAAAGAAATATTTTAGTTTTGAAAGTCAAAAAGTTGGTTCCAGGAAAGTGTCTTGCTTTTTAAGGGACAAAGAAAGGGTATTTTCCACATCCCTCTTTCATTTCGGTTAGATATGATGTAAATAAGTACATTTTATATATTTTCATATACTTCTGTATAAACTGCTGTGCTGTGGCTTTCCTCTATAACGATCGTCTTCGGCAGGTGTTTGCAGAAACATGATCTAACTTCAAAGTTTCTCTCCTGTTTCAGTTGGTGAACAACGGTCCTAGTTTGGTCAGCCACTCCACATTAAAGGTGAGCTGTCCTCTGAGGGCTCCTGGCCACGAGCTGCTCTACCCGGTGGAGGTGGTCACCGAGGGCCCGCTGAGCTGCTCCTCCAAACACACCTTAAATGCACTGAGACTCAAGGTGAGGACACACACACACACACACACACACACACACACACACACACACACACACACACACACAGCTTTGTTGGCATGGTGAGCTCATTACCTTGGTCTATTTCTGGCTTTGAAAATCTGATTGTGTTTGTAAATGACTCTGTCAATGTCTTTGCAGCTCCAGGCTCCAGCGGCAGCAGCAGCAGAGGGTCCAAGGTTACTGAAATCCAGCAGTGATCATCACATCCAGAGGAGGGAGGTGTACAGTGACGTCCTGACTGAACAAGGAAACCTGGTGAGAAACACATGGACAGAAGGAAATCAATAAAAGAGAATGTGATCAGCCCAGCATTTTTAATAATGATCCATGTCTATTATTGGACACTGTCAATTTTCTTTTTTTTTCTTTTTTACTTAGTGAGATCATTTTTGCTCCTTATCAGAATAGATCAGCTGACTCCGTGTGTCCCAGAATAAACCACAGGAGGCGTTTGTGTTTCCCCCGTCTGTGTGCTGCTTGACACAGCAAACGGAGGGGAATCGTGATGACGCAACTCTCGAGAGCTCTTCCCTCTAAACCCTCCACAACAAAGGCTCTTAAATGAAGTCAATGACTCTCATGTCGGGGTGTTCAGACCCTCCGGAGCGATTCGGTTTTTATAGATTTCCTCGTCTTCATCAGGCTCTGCACACTCATGTAGCCAATGAGATTGTAGGAGGGGTTAGCCCTGAACTTGAAAAGATTAAAAACATTAAGTGAGATTACAACAGAGGAAATGGAAATGATATAATGAGCTCTGTTCATCGTCTCCTGCCGCTCGCTGTAATTGTGTCAGAAAAATAATTGGATTATGTTTGTGGTTCACTGGGCGTCACTGACTGTAACTGAAGAAACAACCACATGTTGAAGATGTCTCCAAAGATCCTCCGATGTTTGCAGTACAAAGTTATTCTAAGCAGCTTCAATTAGAGCAGAAAACACGAGTTGTTTTGATTAGCTGATTAAACGAAAATGTTATTTCTCACTGTTTTTTGCTGACTTTTGCTAACGATCAAAAAAAGAAACAAACATCAATTTTTTTGCAATCTGCTTGGAGCCAAACTCTGTCAGACTTTGATTTAAAGTCCCTTGGATTTAATGCAAAATTAAAACATGTTACTTAGTTTTTTTATTTCTCTGAAACTGTTTTAATTGTTAATAGAGAGAAATCTGGACCTGATTCCAGATCTTTTCATTGACTATTACTCCCCATGTGTTACATAAATACTTCACTTTCTAACACTGAACTTCACTGGTTTTCAGGAAGAATCCCACGTCAGGCTTTGTATAAATAAGATACGTGTAACTATATAGGGCAACCAACCAGTATAGGTATAAGAGAAAAAGTTGTATATGAGCTGCTGTAAGTCGTTTTGTTTTAATAATTCAATAAGACACCGTCAGTAGATAAATACATTCTTGCTGAATGCTACATGAGGCTGTGTTTTGTGTGTTTTGTGTGTTTTTGTGTGTTTGACTGAGGCTCTGTCCCTCTGTAGACGTGCTCCTCGGTGGAGTGCTGGCAGCTGCAGTGTGACGTCGGGCTGCTGGAGAGAGGAGCCAGTGTTATTCTGACCGTACGCTCCAGACTGTGGGCTGAAACCTTCATCGAGGTGAGACTGCATAAAAACACTGCACAGCGCTGTTTGAGATGTTCTTATCTGTCAGTTACAGGAAACTCAAATCAAAGAGGAGAACACACCAGAGGAAAACAAACGTCAAACAATCTGTGTTCACATACTGCCCTCTGCTGGGCAACTCACCAAACCAATACACACTTTACGCTTCACACACACACAGAGGCACTATGCACTACGCGGCACACTCATTTTCAAAAATGTCTTGCCAGTTATAATACAAGAAAAAAAGTCATTTCATTATCCATGTTTTTATATCCACTCGATTCAATTAGTGTAACTCACTTTATTTTAGTGAGTGCAGCAGCCAGAGTTTTAACACGGTCAAAAAGAAGAGATCACATCACATCTTTATTTAACAGGGTTAGTCCCATTGAGATCAAAGACCTCTTTAACCTCTTTTCCAAGGGCGACCTCGCCAAAACAGTCATGAGCACAAACAAAAAGTTACAGACAGAGACACAACGGGAGACAAAGTTCAGTTTACAAAACACTAAAGTTTGTATAAAAAAGAGAACCGTCAAGGAGTCCAAATCTGTGAGTAGTTTAAGCCGTCAAGCTAAAAGCATCCACATGTTTCTCATTTAAACATGTGAGAGATGTTTGTGTACAAGGTGTTAAACGGCCTTGCCCACACCTAACCGTTCAGAGCTCCTGTTCCAGTATCAGCCGGTCATAGAGCTAAGATCATCTGATAAAAGGCTTTTCTGTCCTCGTCAAGATCAGAGACAAAATGTATCATGGAGATACGGCTTTTACCCTCCCATCTGGACCGTTTTAAAGACACATCTTAAAACAAACTTCTTCTCAAATGCCTTTTTGATTAATTAAGAGTTTGAGGGGCGCAGTTGGCCTAGTGGTTGGTGAAGGCGCTCCATTTTCAGAAGCTGTGGTCTTCTAAGCGGGTTCAAATTCTGAATTCAGTGTTTTGTTTTAATGAATGCTTTGTGAAAGAGGGGCAGATATTATAAGATAAGTCTTCTTTCGGCTCCTTTTCATTCAAAATTTGAGATTTTATGTTTGTTTGTTTTTCTTAACTTGTTTGTTTAAATGAAATAAAATGTTCTTTCCTGCATGTCTTTCCCCACTCTCTCTGTCACTGAATCCCACCTCTGTCCATTGTCCTTTCTCTACAATAAAAGACATTAAAAATAAAAATAAAATTAGATTTTGATTAGATTTCATCAAGTCTCTAGTGTTTGACAGTCTTGAGTTTCAGCACAGTCCAGTAATGTCACAAAGTCCGGATGCTGTGTCACAATCAGAGGTGATTTGGTAAATATCTGGACATAATAGGTTCACTTTAAGAACCTGAAAAGCTATTAAATAAGATGTTTCCTAATCTCACTGTCTTTTCCTCGTCCACAGAGGGCCCATAAGCAGTACGTTCTGGAGTGCTCCGTTCAGTACAACGTCGACAGGATGCCTTATTCTATTCCTCCCAAGTCCAAACCATCTGGGTCCAAAAAGGTGAACTTAATCTGATCAATTTGTACTACATCCTGACCGTATGAACTCCAGTTTATTCTACATGTGTGTGTCAATGATGGAGGTGAATACTGAACGCTGTGGTTTCCTGTTCTTCAGGTGGTGACTGCTGTAGTGTGGAACAAGCCGGACAGTTTGTTTTATGTTCCAGTGTGGATCATCATCCTGGCTGTTCTCGCTGGGTTGTTATTACTCGCCTTGCTTATATATCTACTATACAAGGTAACACTGCTAACACCATTACCACATAACAATAACAGTGTGAGTGTTTAAACAGCTTACAAAGACTTTAAATATGTTATTTAGTGTCATATCAGAGACCAGATCACTTTTATGTTTTACAGCGCTGTAGCTGCTATGTGACAGCTACATCCTGTCAATGATCATTTAGAGAGTTAATCTTAAAGGCTTGGATGGGTTACTGCAGGAGCCTTCCTGGCAATAAGCCTGCGTGGGAAATGTCTCGTCCAAAGTAGAAAGATGCTTGAAAGCTGAAAGACACTTAACACCACAACAATGTAAATCTAATGAAAGGAGACTGGAAAACAATGCAAAGACACAAAACAACAATAGAGACACATCAGCTACAATGAGAAGCAACACAACTACAAGGAGACACAAAGGGGCGGTTGTGGCTCGGTTGGTAGCGTCATCTCTCAACCGATAGGTCGAGGGTTTGATCCCCAACTCCAGCAGCAACATTTTCTGACGTGTCCTCGGGCAAGACACTTAACCCTGTATGAATGGGATTAGTTACTTCTGATGGTCTCTCGTCATAGGAAGGTGTCTGAAAGCGCTCTACAAACTCAAGTCCATTTATCATTTACAACTTCAAAGAGACAAACAACACCAACAAAAAAGACTCCAGGTCTCATTTTTACTAAGTGCAATTAATGAGTTAAACAACAATTAGCGATTTGTTGCTCTTTTTGCACTTGAATTTTACATTTGCACACCTCCACTTTGCACTTTAATAACTTGAATTTCCATTCTGGTACGGGCTCTTGACTGATTTTATTGCGCTGTTTTTATTTGGTTTTATATTTTGCTGTGTTGTCTGATTTAAAAAAAAATTGTTTTGGTCCATGTTTTTATGGTGATGTTGTCCTTGTGTTTTTTTGTCTTCTGTGTGCTCCTGTTTGCAACGCAAATTTCTCCTTGAGGGACAATAAAAAATCTGAATCTGAATCTGAACAAAGAGACACAAATCAACTAAAAAGACACTCAATAAACTACAAAGGGAAAAATATCATCAGTGAAAAAGACACAAAACAGCTGACCATGTTTTTTGTGCTTTCTGTGTCTTTTTATGTGTTTTATGTCTCGCTCCTATGTTTGAGTGTGAAAGCAACAAAGGTCATAGGAAACAAATATTTGTATCGGTATCCCTCCCCACAGTCTTGATAAATGTTTGTCTGAGTTGTTTCCAATCATTCTCTCTCTCCCTGTCTCCCTCCAGATGGGCTTTTTTAAACGATCAGATCCGTACGGCACGACCATGGAGAAGGCCCAGCTCAAACCCCAAGCGTCCTCTGAGGCGTAGACTCGGGACTGAGCCTCCCTGCAGCTGTTCCAAAGAACTGGAATTATCCCCAAACAAATAAGGAAACTGGCTAATGATGAGCAGGCTACCCATTTATGAATGGACACAGTAATGGGTGCTGTATCACTGGAATACATAATGTCTGGTGCTGCACTAAAACGCCAAAGCAGGAGAGACTATGAGTTGAATATGCACTGCTTTTTGGACATGAAGTTGTACAAATAGAGCAACAAACATGAGGTAGATTTGCTCCTTAGAAGCTTATCGCTGTGGAAAACTTTTCAACTCACACATGATCTGACCTGGAAGAATCGAAGCATCGCAGCCAACACAGGAACAAGAATGCAACCTCCAACAAAAGGCACTAATAAGACAGTATTTCTACATTCCCTAAAGGTGTAATTCAACAGTTTGCAATCCCATCATTTGATATTTTTGAGATTCCTGCTTTTGTATGATTTATACACCACTTTTTATTTATGGCACAGTGTTTTTGCTCTCCATTGTTGAATGTTATACCGTACTGTCTGCAGGACAATCCTGATCAAACTGCGATGTTTAACTTGAATTATTCCTCTCCCATATTGGGAGGTGTTCTGTGTATGTTGGAATGTATGTAATGTATTATTGTGTTATGACCCATTGGTGTCCAGAATAAAGCCTCATTTTGTATATCCACCCAGAATGTTTTTTTATGTGCTATTTATGAGTACACAAAAAACTGGGTGCTGGACAAAAAACAAACAAACAAAAAGTACTGAGTCTGCACACCAGCAGCTGCTTCAATTAAATTGAATTTACTGGAAAAACCCCCCTTGTAACGTTTCGGGCCCTCACCATTCATCAGACATGACCAAGTGAATGGACACACCTCCACATATATACAAACCCTGAGGTCACCTGACAGGTCATGTGATACAACATCAGGATCAATATACAATATAAGCTATGCAAAACATTCATGTTAAAGGTCAACTGAACCTACGCATAGGCACACGAGTCACAATATGGTCATGAAGATGGAAAATTAAAGTGTAATGACCTTCATGAAAACATAGACCTCAATCAGTTGCATTTGTTTGTGGGTCAGTGCTGCCCCCTGCTGGTGATATATAAAACTGAGTACACTAAACCTGTTTTATGAGACCTTCAAAGCGTCATCACAAATGTTGGTAGTTTAAGGTGTCAACCAATTTAAGGAATATAACCCAGTGGTCAAGTTAGGGCTCTTATGGACGACCAAATCAATCACTGATAAACATGTAAATGAATACAGTGAATTTGTTTTTTTACATTATAGTGTATTGTTTAAATGTTATAGTGACTGTTCTCCCTGATGCATATGTATACCTTTTGAGTAAATAGATTGGGCTAATACCTTTCTAATAAAGCTTAGCTTATTTTAGCACAGGCAGTTGAGTCACAGATCAGGAGTGACATAAATACATGATCTATATATTCATGTCACTCCTGAACTGTGATGTAAAATGTAACCTGGGCTGTTTTTCACGTTCTGTTTTTTGAGTGCGATGAGATTTGTTTGGGATGCGAGGAGTTCAGAGCTTGTAACGCAAGACAAATTGTCTGTGCAAAGGGACAACGATGTGTTATCTTATCTTATCGTGTGCCTACCAGCACCTCTAAAAGCTCACATGCTAAACGCTCTCTACATGTTCGATGTCGTAAAATGACAAATTTCCTTTTAGATCGATGAAGTGATAGAACAAGTTTGACTTTGTGGAGTAAAAGAAACAAACATCATTAAGTCAAGTTATCACCTGGCCAATCTGAAGGGTTAAAAAATTATTTAAGAATTAAAATAGCATTTATTTATTTTTCAGATTACACTAAACTGTGAGTTTCACAATATTCTTCATCTTAATTTGATGAAGTTCTTCATCAAAAATTATTACCCAATTCGTTCCAATTTACATAGACGCTTCAAGCTTGTAGTAAGGATTCATATCAGAACCTTATTAGTGTCACAGTTGTGGAAAAACAAGGGAGGTGGACCCAAGTGCAGAATACCCAAAAAGATTTAATTTAACAAAAAGGCAGAAGGAACTAAAAAAAAAAAAAAATTACTTTAAAACAAAAACTAAAAGTCAAAACATTAGAGCAGAAGACGACCAACATCCAACATAGACTCACATACAACAATGAACTGACGGAGACTAAATAGACACGGGGGTAATCAGACACAGGTGAGACTAATGAGACTAAACACACAGAGGCAGGAATAAACACAAGACAAGAAACACTGAGGACTGAGGACACTGAAGACAAACCTAGGAACCCATCAACACAAGGAAAATACTGGAAACTCACAAAATCTACAAAATACAAAACCAAATCATGACAACTAGTGCACATTTAAATAATTGTCCTGCGTCGGCTTAAATGTTCATTTTTAAATGCTGATTGGGCAAAATTCAAGTGTATGAGGTGATTTAATAACTGGGCCAGTGAGGCAAATTAACATTTCTAACCTTTACAGAAAATAAACGACTTTTTATTTACACTGTTGGTTTTCATGTTTGAACTCTGACTGACATTTGTGCTGAGTGTGTGCATGAGTGTTTCTGCTGCATTTGATGCTCCTTCCTGCAGACAGGGTGTTTGGTTTCTCTCCTCCTCCTCCTCCTCCTCCTCTTCCTCCCTCCCCTCTCACTGCGTGTGTGCGTGTGTGTGTCCTGGTTATAAAACCCACTCTGTCATGAGGGCGCTATCCTGCAGTGGAGCTCAAGTGTTACTCAGAGAAGCACACAGACGAAAGAGAAGTTCCCACTTGCCTTCCTCTGGCTGTGAGTAACATATCTTTATACCTTATAATAAGACAGAGTGCAGTATGTAATTTACAGTACAGCCTGACCTGAATGTGCTCGCACTGCATCTTTAGTTCCTCTGCAGAGGCAGATGACTCAGCTGTTTAAAGCTCCAGTAGGCAGAGAAAATGCAGGACAAACACACAAGTGGAATTCGGTGAACACAAAGCCTTGTCTGTTCTCTGCGCCTCAGATAAGAGACACTTCAATGCACTGTGCTCCAACAGAGCATGAAATGACACTTTCCTTTTTTACTTTCTAACAGTTATTGTTTGTGCTGTAAAGTAAAAAAAAACAAAAAAACATTTCAACATATGATCCAACCTCAAACATTCTAGCGCAGGTTGTTTTCCTGCTGACTGATGTTTGTTTGATGACCGACTGATCCTCTGTGATACCTTCTATTCAGCATGTTAAGAGGGATGGCTTTGCCCCGTCTGTTGTGCAGTGAGTCAGCACAGAGGGTATTACTGTTTGGGGGTTTGGAATCTGTGGAGGACCTGGCCTGCTTTGGGACACTGGGTCCAGCCTCGTATTGGGCGCTTTATTTTTAACCTCTTATACTGGACAGCACAGTGTTTGTTGGTAGCAACACATTTGTGTATCGAGACACTTTTCAAGAGATCAAAACTTAACTGTTACCACTATACATGTAAGTCTTAAGATGTCAGCTGTGTTGCCTTCATTCTAAGACAGGTGTTTGTTTTTGTGCGGAGTTTCTTATGGAAGACTTGGCGTGCTCCTGGAGAAGTTGCAAATGCAGTTTTGTTTGGACCAAAGAAAGATCGATTTAGAGTGGATCTAAAGAGCCTGATAAATACTGCAGCAGGAACACTTATTGATCTATGTTTCTGTTCCCTGTTTTTCCTGTTAAGGCTCTATCCTCTCTGTTTGAGCAGTATCATGGCCAGAAACCTGCTGAAGAATCCCAGTGGGGAAGGTAAGATTTGTTTTGTTTTATGTAGGATTCACAGCAGGCCCAGGCCGTGTGTATCTCCGTTTGTACTCCATGTGCAGGCCGACTATATGCATACCGATTATGTAACTAATGTGAGCTAGGCTGGATTTAAATATTTAAATATATTCAGTACCTGACAAGACTTATATTTACACCTGTCCTCAGTCTCAGTCCATAATATTATCAGCAAGCTGCAGGTGTGCCACGCAGTCTTCAGTAAACATCATTATGTTGCTGTTTGACACCATCAGTTAAAATGTGTTGGGACACATGGTAGAAAATATGAAATGCTACTATTAACGCCATTAGACTGTGCGTTTCCATCCCAGAGGAGCTGGAGTTCTGGGAGCTGACGGAGAACGGAGGGAGTCAGTGGAAGGTGGAGGAAATGCCGGGAGACTGTGGCTTCGACTTCTGCAGCGACGGAGTGACCAAATACTTTGCGACCTCCTTTGAGTGAGTGCTCGATGAGTTAAGTGGATGAGTTGACTTCATAGAGTCCTCCAGTGTCTTTCTCTGACTAACTCTGTGTGTGTCCTATAGGCTGTGTCTGAAGAGACAGGTGGTCGACTTGTTAGCCGAGGGTTACACTGAAGAACAGTTGGACGCTGAGCCTGCAGTCACAGTGGAGGACTGGTAAGACAGAGGGTGGACGTGATGGGGCGGACTGGAGCACATTCCTTTTTGAAAGTGACTGCTGACTAATGTGGGCTCATCCTGCAGGTACTGCGGGAGGACAGATTGTGGCTGCACTTATCAAATGAGCGTCTGCCTGTTGGACGATAATCAGGAGGTCTTACAAGAGTTCAAACCTGAGCCAGTGACCCTCGACCCCGACTGTGACGACTGCTCATGGAAACAGGTAAACAGATACTGCTCTGCAAGTCTGAGAGTGAAGGGACATAGATGAGGTGATGGCAGTGAGACCCTTCATCTAGAAGAACTACTGTGTTCAATAACACCATGTTTATTTTTCAATGCTATGACTCTGTAACTATCACTGGTACATGAGAACATAATGCTAAACACACATTCACAATTTCTGACTGGAAAAACACAATGGACCTCATCCGAGGACAAACTGTTGGTCAGGTTTAACGGTGTGATTGAAAACTTATGAGAAACCCAAAAACTGCACACTGACTGAATTTTAACGCTCAAATTCGTCTTGTGGCACGTTGTGTGATATTCTGTGACACAACACCAACACCTACTGTGCCTGTAAGTGAGATTTTTATGGACACACACGTCTTTCCCCCTTTACCTGTCATTAGCCTCTATTCTATCGACCTCATGTAAACTATCCCATGTGTAACATAATTACACAATATCATGTTGAATTCAGTATCCTTTGCACTTCTTACCGCTGCACTGTTGTCTAATTTAGGCTTTAGTACATATTAGTTACATTTGAATGCTTGTACATGGAGAGCAAAGTGAACTTCCTTGTTTTTGCGCACACACCTGAAGCTGTTTCTGATTCTGAGGCTAATAACAAAGATTGAATCTTCTTGTTAAAAAGTAACATAGGAAGTGCACTGTCCACATGGGGGGAGGCCTTTGCCTCTCAGATGAACGTGAGGCCTGTGTTTTTTCCATGCCGAGCAAAATGCAGACGTAGCCTAGTCGTTACCGTGGTTACAGTTACGATGACCTCCTGCTAAATGTTAAGGAAAGATAGTGTTCATGGTCCATTTAACAAGTTAGAAAAAGGAGGTAGTTAAACGTAAGCCTAGTACATCACGTAGGGGAAGATGATTGGCCCGCACACTCGCTCAAATGCCACAAAAAAAGTTGTTTTTTTTAACGTTTCGACCAGATGTCTTCTTCAGGTGAAGATTTCATTTAACAAAGTTGATTTATAAACAGGATGCAAACATTTTCGTGAATCCAAGTCCAATATCTTTGGATCCATCTGTTAACCTGTAACCTTTAACCTATATACCTGCACTCCCTTCCATAAAAACATGAGATGACCTTTTCCAATCATTCTTTAGCGAGGTCTCAGGGGGCTTTAACTTCAGTAGACATGTTGTTTTGGGTTTATTAAAAGTGCATCCTGACTGAATATTGATTCTGGACAGTCTCGTCCTATAACTGCACTGATCACCACAGTGTTTTTGTCTTTCTTTGAATTACAGGTAATCCATACATTTTCTGACTACGGCCCCGGGATGCGTTTCATTTCCTTTGAACACGGCGGACAAGACTCCAAGTTCTGGGACGGCTGGTTCGGAGTCCGGGTCACTGGAAGCTCTGTTACTCTCGAGGTTTGATTAGAAAGGGAAGGTCGTGAAGGTGACGGGAGTCAGAGAGCTAAAGGAGTAAGGAGGGGGGTGATATGAGAACTCCTGAGTGACACAGTGTAGTATAGGTTTCAAGGTTTCTAGAGGACCAGCTTTGCCTTATGCACAATCTATAAATGCTGTAGAAACATACTGCTACACCGAAGACTGTAGTTACAGTTTAAAAAAAAAACCCTATCATGGTGGCATGTTAGCTTTACTAACTTTAGAAATCTGCTGCTTGAAATAGTCGTGAATCATGACTTCTTAACTTCTACCTCTGGACAGTGACTTACCCTGGTGTTAAAATAAATGATGTGTTGTATGGTGTGTGGGGTAGTTGTATACTGGAATTAAAAAGATGAAAACTGTTGTACATTACATCACCGCCTGTTTTGTTGGATATTCACTTTAAGATCTGTAAACACAGATCGATGCTGTGGGGTTGTGATTCATCTATCCAGCTGCTAGAACTGAACAGGTAGAGATATGTAGGCTGGTAGAAGATTCTGGGTTCTATTTCAAGGTACTTTTTCCACTTTTTATTTGATTTGATCATTTTACAGTTTACACTTATACTTGAGTCCTTTTTACTCCACAATTTTTATATCCTAGCAGTTCTAGTTTGTTCTAAGATTAGGATCTTTTTGTATTCAAATGTATGATTAACTACAAGATCGTAGATGTATAGAACATGGACGTCGACTCAGAGACTTTACACATCTGTTTCTGAAGCCCAACAACTTAGCGGTGGCCATGTTAGAAATGCTCTCAACCTAGTGTTTGATCAATCTAAACACAGGCAAAGATGTAGTGTAGGCATTAAGCCTCCTGGCAAACAGCTAAGACAAGCCGGCCTGCCTGTCGACTCAACCTCGCCCTTAATCACGCAAATTAAAGAATAACTTTTAGGCTCAATAGACGAGGAACTGCTTTTTTTTTTTTGCACTAACACATTGGCTTCACTTTAACTCCCCTGATTTTGCTGCTAAAGTCCTGAAATCAAATTTACACTTAAGGGAACGTGCAATAATCTAAACTTCCTAAATATCTTATGAGTGTTATATCACATATTGTATTATTAGATTGTCAGTACTGATGTTTTAACTCATGTATCCTTTTTACCTTGGTAACAACTTTTAAGATAGAAACAGACATGTAGCCACGATCATAATCCAGTTTTTTTTTTAGTGTAGATTGATAAAATGCAGACAGTAAAAAAGCACAAAAAACAAACTTTAATGTTGTATTAAAATAACATTTTATAACTTAAGTGAAAATGAACATAGGCCCGTAAAGACTATAAATATTTAACAATTAAAATCATAGAAGTGGTTTTGATTTTTTTTTTAAACTTGTAAATGTTAAAGTAAAATTCACTACATATCATGTGCGGGCCAGTGGGCAGCGAATGACCTCATTCACATGAGTGTTCAAAGTGAGCACCGTTAACATCTGCACATAACAGAACAGTCTGTTTTTAAAGATACATTAAAGGGGTAGTCTGGATTTTTTTTAGAGTGCGGTAGTTTGAGGTACTTTTTTAAAACTCAGTGTATTTCTCAAAGTAGTTTAAGGGCAGCAGGGCTTTTGTTTACGAGAAGCGGGCCGGATGACACAAAAATTCTACTTTGAAAATGTTAGTCATAGAAATGAGCTGTTTTGATGTAATTGTACAGAGGTGAAAACTTTAAATTGGCATTGATCTGATTTCTGATTTCTTTGGTGGCTCATAGACTCTTGTGCTGATGCTCCTGTCCACAGCACAACCCTGGGTATTTACCATGTCAGTCCCCTGGCTGGTTTAGCTGAACTCACTGTCAAGACTACTGTATTACTAACCACCTCATATAAACCAAACTAAAATAATGGACTCCAAAAATACCCGTCGATCACTGGAAAATGACCTTTCATTCCACCTTCTATTTGATTGAAGGTGAGTCAGCAGGTAAGAAGGTGGACAGTTAGTCTTTATCTGTCTTATCATGGTCACTCCATCCTCCATTTATCTTTAAGAACAACATGATCAGAGCGCCGGTAGCTTAGTGGTTAGTGCGCCCCATGTATGGAGGCTATAGTCCTCCACGCAGGCAGCCCAAGTTCAGATCTGACCTGTTGCTCCTTTCCTGCATGTCATTCCCCACTCTCTCTCTCTCTCTCTCTCTCCACTGTCCTGTTTCTAAATAAAGGAATAAAAAGCCCCAAAATAAACCTTTTGAAAAAAAAAAAACATGATCAAAAAGTTGCACTGCCGGAATTAAAACTGTAAAGCAAAGAGAAAAAAGTGACAGAACATCAAAATTCCAACCACCACGACTCTGTGTCAAACGCAGAGAACAACTTGACAGATGCATCTTACAAACACCTAATTCAGTGCGACTGTTCTGAATGTGTTTTAGGATTAAAATAACTGGAGACTAACTGAGAAAGATGGCCATGTGCAGCGTTACCACATAATTAAGGGGATCAGGTGACACATCTCCTCCTGACCCACATCAGGTAAAAGAAAGTGACATTTTTACTCCGAGATTTCCAATCACTTCACTTTAACTTCTCTAAAATGTTTCAATGTCAGCGGTGAAGTTAAAGCACTCGATCCACCAGCAGACACTGAACCTGACTGATAAAAAACAAAATAAGGACTTTTATATAAACTGCACAATGAAATGTGCATTCACCAAAACGACAGTATTCCAGATTTAATAAATAGACAAAAAAAAACATTTGGTTTAATTTTTGCACAAATACAAGAGGGACATATAAAATCAAATATCAGCTGCTGGAGTTTTCTTTGTTGAAGCTTTGTGTGGCTGCTGAAATACAACCGAGTACAGAACCTGTGGAGCTCTTTTTATCACATTTTAAAAACATTTTGATGTAAATGACTTATGTATTGTTTGTATCATGTCTTTGTTCTTTTCAACATGTAGATCTACTCATGCATTAATGTGGCTCTAATCTACTCACTGGGCTTAATGAGTTAAAGTAACAAATCTTGATCTATTTTTCTGCATAAACAGAAAGAAAACACCAGAGCTCCATAACTCGCTTTGAACTGGTTGGTCTCTGACTTAGAGAGTCACCAAAGAATAGAAGAACAGTGAATAACTTACCCCTCTGAGGCAAATAACACGATGCCTCCTGAATGGGTTATGTTCAGCTGATACTCAGTTTGACTTGTTCAAATTCCAAATAAACAAATGTACACTTAAAGGTTACTACTAAGGCTACTACAAAGGGAGCTTGCAAGCGCAGGTCTGATCATGTATTCATATGAAATATGTGATTCATCTTCCTGACGGTCATATGGTCAAACAAAGCTTTCAGTCATCTCTCGCACAGACAGGCGGCTGAGTCAGACATTTTGAGTCAGTGAAATTGTCCCGTTGAACTTCAGAGAGCGCGTGATTGTAACTCTGCAGCGGTGTGCGTACATTGTGTGCTCAGAAGGTGATTGGCTCCTGGTCCAGGGGAGAGAGGAAGGCGGGACTCATCATTCTCCTTGTGACTGCATCTGTTTACAAAAGGCCTCAAACTGCTGCTGTTCCAACTCCGTCATCACTTTGTTCAAGGCATAAATCTGGAAATAAAGGGGGGTGACAGAAAACACACTTAATTAAACAGGGGTAAGGTGTTATTCTAAAGGAAATGCTTTAGACACACTTGAAGTCTCTTGGGAGGTGATGCTGGTGTATCGCAAATGCACCAGGATTATAAACAGGAAAGGTGGGTCACCTCGGCTCTCTGCCGCTGTTTGAGCTCTTGTTGTGCAGATTTCTGCTTGGCTCGGTCTCCTCTTGTCGGGGTAGAGTTCAGCTTCGGTTTGTCTTTACGGCAGGCAGGCTCCATGCTGACAGTCCTTCAATCTAAGAACAGATGGAACAGGTAGGTCATTCCAGATGTGTTTGTTCACCACCTTATTTGCCTCTATGAAGGTTTATTCTCTGGTGGGCCCACTGCCCAACAGACCTGTAGTATTGCTTAATATGTAAATTATGTAACCTGAAACTTGTATTCTGATATTCTGATGTCCTAACCAGGTTATCTCTGATAAAATAAAAGCACGAGTCGATGCCAGGTGTAAGAAGTAAATATGCATCTGTCGTGGAGACCCTGAAACACCCTAAAGAGCTTTTCCAGTCTTCTGACAACTCAAAGCGCTGTTGACACCACATTCACACACTGATATGTAATGTGTCCATCAGAGTGTACTAATCCATGAATACGCTGCTGATGCAGCGGTGGGAACAACTTGGGTTTAAGTGTCTTGCCCAAGGACACATGAACATGCAGGAGATTGAACCCCTGACCTTCCAGATGAGAGACGACCGACTCCACCACTGAGTCACAACCGCCGAAACAGAAGATTTCTTACAATCTGAAACACCTGAACACAAAGGTAAACCAAACACAAGAATCATCAACAGAAGCTTTCTATTTCCCTCACATAACTTACAAGCTGCTTCAAAAACAGTAGACATTATATTTGCATGAATTACGACATGAACCTTCTCTGAATGTTACTCCAGTCAGTGTTGAGTTAGAGAGTTCTTAACAGCAGGGGTTACCAAACTTTTCCGGCTTGCAACCACCAAAATAAGGGTGCCAGAGACTGAGGACCCCAACGCTACTTGGGGGTGTTTAAGGTATAACGTAGCACACAGTCATGCACACGCAGGCCCATTCAAACACAACAGAACAACTCAAAAGAATACAGCAGTCTAAAAAACATCACATTCATTTACAATAGCAGAATACAAGTCATTCCCATTTTTAGACTTCAGCACTGTGTGGACATTTCAAACTGTACACACACAGGTGGCGGCAGTAGGTTGGGAACCGGAGGGTCAAATATGGAAATATAGCAGCTCCGTCACTCTGACATCTATCCATTAGTGCATGCCCATAGGATCCTGTGTGTGTGTGTGTGTGTGTGTGTGTGTGTGTGTGTGTGTGTGTGTGAGTGTGTGTGTGTGTGTGTGTGTGTGTGTGTGTGTGTACTTCCCCGCAAGGGATCAAAACATAATGAAATCTTAAGGTGTGTGCATCTTTATGTGTCAAGAGCAGCAGACGTCTACATTATAGTGTCATGTCCAAACTTACATTGTAGTGTTGTTGTATATCAAACATATTATTATATCTAACATATTATTATATCAAACATATTATTATATCAAACATATTATATCTAACATATTATTATATCAAACATATTATATCTAACATATTATTATATCTAACATATTTTTATATCAAACATATTTTTATATCAAACATATTATTATATCAAACATATTATTATATCAAACATATTATATCTAACATATTATTATATCAAACATATTATTATATCAAACATATTATATCAAACATATTATTAT